TTGCAGAGCGGGATATATTTTGTCCCAGCATACCTCTAACCCCAAGAAATTCGTGGTTCAAATTCTGCACCAAAGTACTTAAAAGAGTTAACACCATTTTTCAAGTGAAATACCAATTAAAGAACTGAAAGAACGCATTTTTCCTCAATTGTACATTAACAAAGTCTAAAATGTTCTGCTGAATGCTGACGTACAACATGAAAATTGAACCCGTCATCAAAGGGTTAACACATTGTGGCTTGCAAAAATGTCCCATTAGGGACTAGTTGCTGACGTGCATACGTCCCCAAGTACAACAATTATTTTTCAAACAAACGCCTACGAAGATATGGCAAAAAATAAACCGATTTAATCAAGAATAAGTAAATTATAATTATATTTCATTGGTACAACACAACTGCAATCGAATGATAAAGGAATAATCAGAACTTCAACTATTCAATATTTCGTCCATTCTGCTGCAATTATTTCCTGGCGCTTTTGAAACCTTTCGTGAAGTTATCGTCGTTACTTTCTCTACTTCCTTTGATCATATCTGCGTAGTCCTTTGGAAAAATCCCATCAAACCCAGTACATATTGTTGAATTTGTAATAAAATGTGCTCTACTTAAATTTGGGGTGATATTTTAGATGGGACACGCGGTGTGTCTATAGAACCTATAAAAATGGGTAAGTATATGTGTCCCAAGAATTATTCCATCGAAATTACGTGCACCTGCGATAAAAGACACGAATATTTTATGACAATAACGAAAAAGGACTTATATAAAGCGATAAATTCCATTCTGGCATAACTCTGGATGGCAGTCGCCTTTATTTAAATGGCCACTATCGGCTCTTTGCCATATTTCTCTGTCCTTACCTACCATATATTTCGTTCCACATCATTCGCATAAGATTGAAATCAGCCATATTCAGCCAAATATATTCAACCATTCAGTAGTGACGTGGTTGCTCTACATGATAAGAGTAACGAATAAAGATGTGACATTTCTTTTCTGCTAGAAGAATTAAAACTGACATCAACTCTTGATTTGACGCGAAATATCGAAACTTCTTTCCCTGTCACACCCATTGAGCATATGGAAACTTCGAACGCAAATTTCTTCGTAACTGTTTGAAATATCTCAATCAAACCCAGCAGATATCGTTGAATTCGACATAATAATTTCGAACCGATTGTGGAATAAAATACAGGGTATCCAATTTGAGAATCGAAAGTTGATGTGCCCTCTAGTGAGCATATCAAGTAAACACCGTCATCGATTATGAGATTATGACGTGAATGTCCGCAATTTGTGCATATATGAGTTTACATGAACAGTTTAGTTCACAACTAAATTGGTGTCCGAGTGTAGAAGCGCCTTAGTAAATATGGCAAAAACTAGGAAAGTCAGCCTTATGTGGGTTTCAGGACACTCTGGTATACCGGGGAACGAGGAGGCAGACAGACTAGCCAAGATCGGTTCAGGAACGACATCCATTGACCAGAACCGATATTGGGAATACCCAATAGTACGGCTATGTCCTTCATGAAGGAAAAGCTACAGAAGCAGTTCCTTGAAACATGGCGGGACACACCAGGATACCAGGAATGAGACAATCAAAGCTCCATATAAAGAAACCTTCAAAAAGGCTCACGAGGGAGATCCTGTCACTTAATAGAAGGGATCTCAAGATGGTAGTTGGGCTCTTAACTGGGCACAACCACCTCAACAGGCTAACAGGCACCTAGGACTCATAGGGATCAAAGATGATCCCATCTGCAGATGGTGCTTGGAGGATGATGAAACATCATCACACATACTCACTGAATGCCCCGCGCTGGTGCATCAGAGGAAAGCTGCCTTTGGGAGCATTGTACTGCACCCAAAGGATGCGAGAGCGACTCAGCTGAGGAAGCTGCTGAATTTCGTCAAAGAAATCGGCATACCCAGCTGATTCACAGGACAAGTGGGCGCACAATGGGCCCGACTGAAGAGGCCTGAGTGCAGGGGTCTACGCACCCGCCCACCTGTGCAGAGAAGAAGAAGAAGAACAGTTTAGTAGATTATTCTTGTGGATTATTATATATAAACAATTGTTATATATTTTGAATGTAACATCTTTATGTGGAATTTTCGTAACAAGTTCACATAAACAGTTTCTTCTCACGTTATTCGATATCTAACATGCAAATTGTAATTTACTGATGTAAGTAAGTAGGTATATCAGTTATATTCACATATCAAATCACACACATAGGATCATAACAATTTGCTGTTATTGCAATGTCTGTGAACGTGAAGTTCCTAGGTAGTGAGAGTTGCAGGTTCACAATATTGGTGGTGGTGTAAACAATCCTCGAAATAATCTTGCTGAAATCACAGTTGAAGTTGGGCCACTGATGATATCTACTATAAATCCACAGTGTCCTCAGAGCTGTTTTGAAAGATAATTCCAGATAATTCCAGGTTTGCAGGCATTTTACCTACTAAAGATGGCAAAAATGAGTGACAGCTTCTGTGAGTTGAATTTTTTCCTGGTTTACCTGCAGAAGGGCTCCTATCAATGATTATAATTGGATCATGCTATCCTACCCAGGTTAACACATTGGTTAGAATGGTTTTTCACTGTTCACAATATTCACTATCTTCATGGTATCACTATTTGTGGACTGATGGATCTATTTTCTTGAAGAGTTGAGTTGATCAAGTAGATTGATATGGTGGCGAATATCAGCTTCTTTCCTTCTCATCGATAGTGGATTATGCTTGTGAATTCTGATATCCCGTAGAAATACACTGGTGATTGTTTGATGGAAGTTCGGATGAAAGGCTGTATTTAGCTATGTTTTTAGTCCACGATTCAGTCCATACGAAATGGTATGATGAGTGATAATTTCAATAATAAATACTAGTAACACGATGAAACAGCTGTTATAAAAATGTACTCAAATAATCTCAAAGAATTGAGTGAACAAACAAAACACCAAATATGCCGCCATCTTGTTTTGAAACAGTGCCCCCAACGGGATTACCTTGCCAGTAGGTCGATCTAATATCTCACTTCAACAAACACCGAAGTTCTGCTCTTTCGATATTTATATAGAGTTTATATAAAGATTTCACATAAAAATATCTTCAAGTATTTTATATTACAGTTATGTAACGCTCACATAACACCTTCAAGTCTCTGAGAAGTTTCAATTTTACATATTCGACAAATGATATATTACTGTAAACTGGTTTACATTGTTTACGTAACCATCGTTCTCCCCTGATTACGTAATTGCTATGTTAATGTCACAAAATTGTTTACTGGGTTTTCGATGTTCTAAACTTCAGAAATATAGCTAGAAAAACAAAGGAGAAGAGGGGAGGGGTTATCCTGAGTTTGTGTCATCCGGTATATCTTTTTCATGAGTACCTCTACTTATCACTACTTATAACAAACTTTTACATAAAGAAGGAAGTTGTATGACATACCGACCATAAATTTATCTCACGTTCACCTTCCAGCTTTTATGACTTTTATGTTTTCCACCAGGGATCATATTTTTCGCTGAAATCTGCTAGGAGTCACCTTTTATGGCCTTCGCTCAAAGTTCCTTGTGATAATGAACCCGAAATTATTGCTGTACATGAAGGAGAAACCTTTCAGAAAAATATTTCGTTTGGAAAAGGTGGGAAGTTGCATAAATTATCAAACTTATTACTTTTAGATCTAGTATTGGTCTGAATATAAAAATGATTCGGATAAGAGATGTTACCTACGACAAGCAAATTAAGTTATTGAAGTCACTAATCAATATACAGGGTGATTCAGGTTTTAAGGCACAAACTGAAATGGGAGATAGATCTCATCATTTTAATCAAAAAAGTTTATATAAACATTATTCCGATCTCGTTTAGTAGCGGAGCTACAGGGGGTCGAAGTTGAATTATTTTTTTCTATTAATTGAAATATCTCGCTATGATATCAGATTTTTTCTAATTCTTATAATTAACGAGAAATCTGATCCCGAAAATTGAACAAAAAACCGAAAAAATCAGGTACGCCACTTCAATAGTATATTACGTAATTTTATTGTTTGGAAAAAGCATATTACGCACGAATGGAAATTTTATTTTGATCCCTATATTTTTTTATTGGTGACATTCGATGGTACATACGTCAAGCTATCTTAGGGTTCGAAATATTTGCAATTATTTCAATGCCACCCTGTATATACACCGTGTCCCACTTCAACTGCCCCCACACTCTATATTTCAGCTATTAGTTGTACGATTCGTACCAAATTTTGAACTGTATGAATATCACCATCAATATTATGATATAGTTTTTCAGAGACGAAGCTAATTTTGAAATGAAAAGGGTTGATTTTCCACGAAATCATATTAGCAATTTTTTGCATATTATAATAATAATAAATAATAATAATAAATTTTATTATCCCTTCAGAATGTTCTCCATGCTTTCGATCGTCCATATGCAAAAAATGACTCCATTCCGAATAGCAGGATTTGCTTAATTTTTTTCATTTTCTACCTCGCAAAAATAATGAATTCACATTTATTGCAAATTTTGAGACGTTCAATGGCTCCTGTATGTAAAATATCATGATTTGAAAAAAAAAACAAGATATACGTTTTTGTTGAACTCACCGTTTCCGAGTGAATAATTATTTATATACGCAAAAATGCTGTTTTATATATGCCTGTGTTTTTGAAATCTTTCATAGAAATCATATGAAAATTTCGAGGAAAATTTCCACATGAAGGTTTGCAATTATGACGAACAATATTATGAGGTCGTTTTTCGTGTAAAAAAAACTCCTAGAGTTCATAAAACGATGACCGACTAGTTCTTATTCAGAAGAAAATAAGTCTGCTTCAATCGCATGATGATGATAAAACCGATGAATCGCCATCTTGTGATATGCCGTGATATGGCATTCCCAGGCGTTCCAATCGTTTACAGGGTGATTTGAACTTCACTAAAAATGTTTTTTTTTTCAGAATTGGGAAGTGCTGAACACTGCTGTTCTTACAGGACTGCAAGTCTCGCAGGCCATGAAGATTTTCATCGTTTCACAGGCAGGAAAGGCGGCTGATGTGACGTACCAGGCCTCCTGTCATTCTGAGGACGAAAGCGTTCTAAAGGTGAGGAACATATATCTTCTTCGTCTATATTTTTTAAGAATCTTACTCCAGATCTCTCGAATTCCAATTCACCAGTGACGTTAGAGCCGACATATTCATTCGGCCTAGATCAATCTGTGTTAGTATCTAAATGAATAACATTTCAACCGCTCATGTTTCCTATAATTCAGTATGAATTACATTCAAAGTACAATATAGTTATTTATTATACAAGGGAAAAGAGTATTATTTGTAGCTCGAGGTTGTCTTGTGTCCAATCGGAGGGAGACAAAAAAAGTGAGGTGAAATCTAATATTTTTCCTGTGTATAATACACTATTTTTTTCTGTCACTGGAAGAACGAATCTATACAGGGTAATGCAAATTGCATGGTATACTATCGTTAAATTAGAAATGGAGAGAGATGCAAACTAGAATAAATTACGAAAAAAATGCGCCATTTCATGACCATGTCGAATATCGAAAGAAATCGAAGATATCTATATTTATTGAAATATCCTGAAAGAACTGGAAACCATCGATTTTTTAAGTTATCAATAACTTTTCAACTATTGCTGCTAGAGTATTGAAATTTGGATCAGAAATTATTCATTTGCAAATGAACCTCGAGACTTATCGAAAATCAACACGATACAAAAAATACTTCTGAAGGGAATATCTTTCTGGAAAAAAAACTGGAAGTTTCCAGTCTGACCTCTGAAAAGTTATCACCAAATTTGTACGGCAACATGGTTATTTGAAACACTTGCAGGTCACTGATGATGATCAAAAACATCTCAAAACGTGACCTACAGTCACAGAACATGCCATGCCAAAAATTATAAAAATCGATCTCAGCCTACTCTTTTTATGAGCAAACTTATTTTTTTCCAAAAAAACTTCAATGCCTTGTACCAACTCAACGAGACGATTTTGGATATAGGTACATTTATCCCAGGAGTTCACAGCCGAGCCATGTTCCAACCTTTTACACACACCCTGTATATAGAATCAAATAAATTGAATAATAGAACCATGAATCAATCCATGAGGTTTTTTAGGTTAGTAGTAACATGGAGGAAATATGATTAATACAAAATTTCGACATTTTCAATATATAAATATAGAATATAAATTCCTCTCGCTGGTGTTGGTGTGGTGTGATTTCATGAAATTTTGAGATAATACTTTTTTGCTAGGTATATATTTTTGTTTGGATTCCAAATGAGTTAGGTATAGAAATACATAGCAACAAGACTCATTAAAACTCCCAACATATTCCAGTTCTTCATGCAGAATAACGAGAGCATAATATATCATACCTCGTTTTCCCTCTCTTGTTCCTGTTGTTTTATTAGGTGATGCGTTGAAATATTCCTCGTCACACCGTTTTGGAATTATTTCAATTCGTGAAAACACCTCTTGCATTGTTCGCCTGTGTTAGGAAACCACAATTAACTCCGCGAGAAACTCGCTGAGGGTAATAAATACAGCAAATGATTAAAACTTGTAGAGCCAAGAATTAAGGAATTTTCACGAGGCATTGGCTCAAAGTTTCTTGTTCAGCTGAGACCTGATAATTATTGTGAATGAGAAATACTTTATTGATTTATTTATGTTCCGGTTCCCACGAAAAAGGATATCCTGTATTGTTCAGAGAACATCGTGAGAACCAAGGGAAATAAGGTAGGAATAGGAGTTCTTCTTGAATTTCTATAGGTTATATGCCTTGGGGAACACCTCCCTTGGCAATGTGTTCCAGAGCCTCGCTGTTCGTTGGATGAACGAGTCTTTGGAAAGAGATGTTCTGCAGGTCTCCAAAGTGACCACAAAGGGGTGCGAAGCCTGAACTCGACGGGTTAATCTCGCGGGGACTGCCAAAGAAGGAACAATTGTTGATATTTCAGAAGAGCATCGTCCATGGAAATATCTTTAAAATAGAGCCAGATCGCCAACTTTTCTACGGTGTTCCAAAGAAATGAGTGTGAGCGAGGCATCACACACGAGACGAATTGCCCTTTTTTGGACAGAATCCAACAGTTTCAGGGTATGTTTGGGTGCTGCACTCCAAATATGGTAACAGTATTCCAGGACAGGTCGGATCTGTGCCTTAAATAGCATGAGCAGCTGACTGGAAGTGAAATAGCTCCTGGCCCGAAACAGAAAAACCAGTTTTTGGGATGCACTTTTAGCAATTGATCTCACGTGATTTCCCCAAGAAAGGTTATTGCTGATAGTAATACCAAGCATCGAAATGGATGTCTTCGAAGGTATGGTGACTCCTGAGAAGCTCATGTTTGGCATAGTGAGATCGGCTTTTCTAGAGAAAAGGCATGCTTGTGTTTTGTTTGCATTGAATTCTATCAAGTTTTTGGATCCCCATTCGGGAATCATTGCCGAGTACATCTTTATGTTGTCAACATTTCTCCCTCGTTTGTTCCTGTTTTGCCTGGCTGGTATTGGAGCCCTGGAAGAGAAGGCGGTATGGAGGATACTATCATCCGCGAAGCTGTGTACTGGACATGAAGTTGCTTTCAACAAATCGTTGATATGAAGTAGAAATAGTGTTGGTGCTAGAATTGATCCTTGCGGAACACCAGCATTTATGATAAGAGAGTCAGATGAAACTCCATCTTCTCTTCTTGTATTCTTCCTGAAATGTGATTATTGTGATTTGATAATTATTTAACTATGATTCGAAAGAAAAGAAAAAAGATTCCAGTAACTACTTCAATTCATAACTATATTTTCACATTTACCTGGCATCTGTGGAGTCCAATAAAAACTTAGTTTCATATTATATCAGAGCAATTTCACCTCGAATTTCACTACTCAACATATTTCACTACCAGCACTTGGAGTACAATGAATGTCACTTCATAAGTTAATTAAAGTAAATAAAGTATATAATATACCTATATCATTACTTCGCTAACTACCTTTATTTGGAATATGATTGAATATTAATAAAACGTTTCTGAAACTGATTCCACCGTTTCACGACAAAATAAAAAAAAACAACTGCACATCACATAAACAACAACAAATGCAGTAATGGCAGATGGCGGATCTTTGATGTCCTTGGACATTGGCGGCATAAAAATACTGACAGCTAACTCGAAAATTTGACATTATCTATCTAATTTGCAACTATCGGAATGGAAGCTTGACTATATCAGTCGGCCATGACAGTTTCGGTACGGGACATTCGAGATTTGAATCCATTTGAGGGGAATTTTCTCATTGCGCTCTAGCTAGATTGTTGTAATGTATGTGTTTTTGTATTCCACTACCTAAATTGAATTTCAATTGACCTCTTCTCTACCTTGAACGAGAGAGAGGAAAGTTATCTCCTCTTTCATCTTCCTCTTCAATGCTATCAGAGGGATAGCGAATATCCAATTTATATATTATTTTGATAATTCTTTTATGTATAGTTTCTAGTGGTTTGATATTATTTTCATAAGCCCCACCCCATGCAATTATACCGTACGTCAACAATGAGTGGACAAGGGCATAATATACCTGGATCAAGTTCCCGGTACCTATTATTTTTGTCATTATTTTGAACATATATAATAGTGATCGTAGTTTTTTTTTGTTGATTGGGTTATGAGGATATCCCATTTAAGATAATTGTCAATTATAATACCTAGATACTTGGTACTGTTGGCTCTTTCTATCTTATCTTCCATTAGTCTTTTCTGAATAGTGAATTCACATTTATGGTCAAATTATTCGGGAGTTCATTCTTGTAATTTGCGAACGGGATATATACTGTTTCCTCCAGGTTTATTGTTAATGAGTTCATGTCGAACCAATTAATAATATTTTTCAATTCCGAAGATATCACATTTTCAACTTCTTCCCAGGTTTCATCTTCTACAAAAAGTACCGTATCATCTGCAAATGAGATGATGAAGCCCATAGTTTTGATGTTGAGTAGTTCATTCAGGTACATAAGACAAAGAATTGGCCCCAAAACTGTTCCTTGCGGTATTCCATATGTCACCACCCTTGGTTCGCTTTTGAACTGGTTGATTTCTACAGTTTGTTGTCTATTCTCTAGGTAACTGGCCAAGAGTGAATGTGCTGGACCACGAATTCCTGCAGCTTTCGATGACTAACGGTATCGAAAGCCTTTGCCAAATCTATAAAGACTCCCGCACATCGTTTACATTTATCCAGACAATGATAAAATTTGTTGGTTAGGAGAGCAATCGCGTCACTGGTCGACTTATTTCCTCTAAAGCCGAACTGAAGGTTTGAGATTATATTATTTCGATTCAGGAAGTCGTTTAATCCCATTTTGAAAGCTTTTTCAAAGTTTTTAGCCATGATGTAAGAGTACAGAACTTTATTCCTCTCTCTCTCGTTCAAAGTAGAAAATTTCTCGATTTCTTCCAGGTGTCCTCTTCTTGTGGCTCAGTCTACGTGGACGGCAGCGAGGCACGTGGTTCGGTGAACGGCTCCGTATTGGTCAAATACGGCACCTACACCGGCCTGGCCGAGTTCACCGTCTGGATGCCAGAATTTCCGCTGGAATTATCGGTGGCCGACACGAGATTATCGCAGCTGAAAGCTTGGCGGGCGCCGGATTATCACCCCAGGTAAATTATGCCGTAAACGGGGGTTTTGACACTCGACACCGCCGTTAAGTGGGGCTTAATCGATTCGGGGCAGAGGTGCTTTCCCTAGGGGGTAGTTGGACTATTCGCGCCGACGATAGCTAAACTGGTCCCTAGTAATCCACAGCGTTATGATGAGACAATAGGAATGGGACGTGACGTTACCAAGATACCGCACTAGATGTTTGTAGTTGGAAGGGAGCTCTGTAGGAAATAAACTGGGCGTCAATTGAAACGTTAATAGTGAAATTTGGCATCAATTTTGACTTCTCGTAATTTCTAAAATATTGAACGAATTTTGAATTGCCGCCCAGATTCTGAATGCCTTTTTCATCGTCTTTCAAACCGTTCCTTACAGCTTCTTCTAAATTGATCAGGACTCGTGATATAGGGTGAAACAAAGTTTCGTGCATTTTGAAAAAAATTTCTCCGCCCCCCCATTTTGTCAGAAGACCACGATGCTCATATTTTATCTGGGCATTTCATAAATAGCAACCATACCTCGGGACGTTATCGAGTTTTTGCCAAAAACTACTTAAAAACAAATTTTTTTTTTGTATTTTTTTTTAAATGGACTAATTTTAGAGGATTTCCATTAAAGGGTGCTTTTTTGCATTTCAGGAAAGCGTTGAAGCAGATATGTATACCAGGTTACTCAAAAACAATCAATAATTTATTACTTCGCAGTCTATGATAAAAGTTTTCTACCTTAGTGAGCAGTAAATCAACACATCTCATCAACAAGAACAAACAACGATACCTTGTTTCTATAACAACGTATTGTTGAAACAATGTAGGTATGCATAGAGGTTATATCAATTTGCCAATTTTCATGAAAACGTCAGTGTAATTCGGGTCCTAAAAAATTTAAAGATGCCTCGTTCAAATCGGGTCGAAATGGAATTTATCATTAGGTAAGATCACTATAGTGATATAAACTATAATTCAGTACAGATAATTATTATTTCAGGTTACGACGATTAGGATATACCCAAACTCATTTAAGTACCATTTTCAATAAGTCAGTCATGACAATAAATAGACTGATTCATCGTTTTGAGGATACAGGTAATCAGGCCATTTAAAAAAAAATGCGAAAAAAAATGTTTTTTCGGAAACCACAGTAGTTTTTGGCAAAAACTCGAAAACGTCTCGAGGTATGGTTGCTATTTATGAAATGCCTGAATAAAATATGAGCATCGTGGTCTTCCGACAAAATGGGGCGGCGGAGAAATTCTTTTCAAAATGCACGAAACTTTGTTTCACCCTGTATCACGGGTCCTGATCAATTCAGAAGAAGCTGTAGAGACGGTTCGAAAGACGATGAAAAAGGCATTCAGAATCTGGGCGGCAATTCAAAATTCGTTCAATATTTTAGAAATTACGAGAAGTCAAACTTGATGCCAAATTTTACTATTAACATTTCAATTGACGCCCAGTTTATACATTGCTATCAGCTATTCGTCAATTCAGAGCAGACTATTCTGGTTTAAGACTATTGTAGAACTTGCTTGAAATTATAAACAATATTTCTGGATATTTATGAAGAGTATATAGACCAAAATCCAAGAGTGAAAGCTAGCGCCTCATAAGTATATGAAACATTTTGTTGAATGAATTGTAACAAAATGTTTCATAATATACCATATAATTATATTGTTTCAGCCTTGAAGAAGATAATAAAAATGTTCGAAAGCTTGGCATAGCAATAAAGTAGTTTGCTTGTATTCCAATTGACTGATCTCCCCGATATTTCCCGTCATATTATGTTAGCATCTTTAGGATTAAAGATTAAAATTAAATATCCGCTATTCTAGAATGCTGACCGTGAAAGATACTAACCGCGAAAATAACGGTGAATTGCCTTTCTTAGATGTCTTAGTAATCGGAAATGTCGAAAAGAGCTCAAAATTTAACGTTTCTAGAAAGAAACTAATACACTTAGATACATAACAAAAAAATGTTCTATTACATAGATTATTTTTATTTCCTCTGAACAACTAAACATTCAATGTTGAAAGAACTGATGTTTATGAAGTGGCTGGCTTCAATGATTATGATATCAAAATCTAAACTAATAATACAAAGAGAGAAGTTTTGATTGTTTGTTTGTTTGTATTGAATAGGCTCCGAAACTACTGAAGCAATTTGAAAAATTCTTACACCATTAGAAGTCGGCATTATTCCTGATGAACATAGGCCACTTCTTACCGCGAAAAAATGCTTCATTTCTACGGGAAAACGGGTAATAGGACAACGGGTAGTAAAAATTATCCTTCCATACTTATCTTCCTCACATAACTTCCAAACGGCTGAACCTCTTGATCTGAGGGCTGAACCGATTGAGTTAGAATTTTTAATACGTAAGACAATAGAACAAAAAAATACAAAAGATAGGTACTGAGACAATGAAAATAGGCGTAAGTATATATTAGTAGCTATAGGTAAGCACAAAAAATAAAGAATATCAAGAAAATATGTACTGAAAGATACCCGCAGAGCTCAGAACGACTGTAACAAATGTCTCGATTCTAAAAATCGGAACAACAACCGTGCGAAGCCGTGAGTAGATGAACTAAATAACTAAACATAAATTCAAGTTAACCGTTAACAATCTTGCGACTTCTCAAGTGGATAGAAACAATTCGTAAATAATTCCAATCCCATTCAATCCCAATAAGTATACAGAAGGAGGTTTTCAGAGACTTAGGTTTTGAAAACGTATTTCAGTCTAGGTGAAAATTGGGCAATTTATTAGGCAATTCAACATCAAAAAGTCAGGGATTCACGAAATTGGTTGTAATGATCGTGATGAAACATATGGGCGAAACTGAGCGACTGAGCACATTTGAAATATGGTAGGTGATAAATCGAACTCACGTGTTAAATCACAAAAAGAACACAATTGAATAATAATAATGTTAGTAAGTTAGATGCATATGAGAGGTTTGAAATATTCTGTGATTAAAGATAATCGACTTATTCCATATAGCCGTTCACGATGTGAAGGTACTGTCGATTCGAGCTATCGGCTCAGCATTCTTCTTCGAATTGTGTGATTCATAGTTGTAATCCTAGTAGCACCTCGATGCCCTAGAAGTGGTTCGGATTCCACTAGAAGCTGTAGGTCCCGCTCTTTCTAACCCCGCACAAGTTTCGACTTCTGGAGAGTTGGTTTCCAACTTTGAAGTAGCGATATACAAATTTTACAAATTTTCCAAAAAATATAGTTTAGTGATTTAGGATTGATTACCATGTGTATAAGCAGCATTCCAAAACTGGATATCTAGTTTTGATCATCTCCTGAAGATAATAATAATAATAACAATTATTGGTCTCAAGAAACATTTTCAACATACATATGTTTATAGAGGGACACAAGAAAAAATACATAGGTAAATAAAGAAATCGAATTTCCAATAAAATGAAAGATAAACAGTTAAATCCGTATTGATCAACATGTAAATAAAATATTCAAATTGATAAAATATATTTCGTCAGTTCACTCTTGAATTTTGTGACGAGATTGATACATTTTATTTTACCACAAAAATAGAATGAATTAAATGATTTGTTTCCCATATAGGGTATTTATTTTGACAAAGTGAACCTCGTGTTGAGGCATTGAAAACTCGGTTTGCTTAGTCATAAAACAGTGTGGTGTGTCCTAGAAAACGTTGTCTCACCATACATTTCCAGCGCTTCGAAATCCAGAAGGAAAAAACGCTCGTACAGCACCGGCTGGGGCCTACCTGGCGAAGACATGACCAACGGAGTGGAGAAGCCTTTCTGCCGGCTGCGCTACCAACAGACCTCCGTCGAGGTTTACGCGCGCTTTTTCGCCTCCGATCACTCCTCTGGCCGTACCACGTACCTCATCAACAGAAGGACGTACCTCAGGGTCACTGACTTAGTGTTACCTTGGCTCAGGGTGAGCGATCCGAGGATAGCTAGTCTGCACGGGAGGATTTTGCAAGGAAGGAGTGTGGGAAGGACGGAAGTGCAAGTAAGTAAACCGGAAACGAACGTTATCATCAATAAAAAGTGAATACATTGTGACTTGAATGATTCATGGGTTTACCGTTGTTCGTTCGGTCTCCCTCGTTTCAGAATATGTAGTGGTTCGCGGTAGGTTATTCCTCCTATAATTTACCACAAGATGATATAGTATCGATGATTACATTGCGAGCTGAATGATCTATCTTGTCCTTGTTGTTTGCTATACACGGTGAGGTTCTTCTTTCTCCGTGGTCAAAGCAATTTCTCTAGTCTTATTTCTCTAAGTAAATTCAGGATATGAAGTGGTTGTATGTGGGCTAACTCCTCCTATATGCTTCTAGGTCTGTCGCCCTTAGGTCTTGTAGGAAGTCCCATTCTCTAAAATTATCTGAATAGAGGATTCCTTCTCATTTCCACATAACTTGTTTTCATCTTCTTCGACTATGCCAAGCTTCCTGAGGAGTTCTTCAGCCAACAATGTCCTCTTCAAGGTTTTCGTTAGAACACAAAGTTCCTTTTTGCTGATGCTGACTAAGTCTTCCGATTTTTGTGGTTATAGTCTTCAACTGAGTAGTATTTTTCCACCTACGATCACCCCTCTGGGCGTACCACGTACCTCATCAACAGCAGGACGTACCTCAGGGTCACTGATTTAGTGTTGCCTTGGCTCAGGGTGAGCGATCCGAGGATAGCTAGTCTCCAGGGGAGGATTTTGCAAGGAAGGAGTGTGGGAAGGACGGAAGTGCAAGTAAGTAAACCGGAAACGAACGTTATCATCAATGAAGGGTGAATACATTGTGACTTGAATGATTCATTGTGCCTCCTTTGTTTGCTACAACCACAACGAGTTTACCGTTGTTCGTTCGTTCTTCCTCGTTTCCTCCTATAATTTACCACAAGATGTAACAGTATCGATGAAGGTTGATTACATTGCGAGCTGTGTTCTTGTTGTTTGCTATACACGTTGCTTCCTCCGTGATTATAGCAATTTCTCTAGTCTTATTTCTCTATGGAAATTCAGGATATGAAGTGGTTCTATGTAGGCTAACTCCTTCTATATGCTTCTAGGTCCGTCGCCCTTAGGTCTTGTAAGGATGCCCCATTCTCTAAAATTATCTGAATAGAGGTTTCCTTCTCATTTCCACAGAACTTTTATTGATCTTCTCCCACTATGCCGAGCTTCCTGAGAAGTTATTCAGCCGACAATGTCCTCTTTAAGGTTTTCGTTAGAACTCAAAGTTCCTTTTTGCTGATGCTGAACTAGTAAGTGATCCTAGGATAGCTAGTCTGCACGGGAGGATTTTGCACGGGAGAAGTGTGGGAAGAACTGAAGTGCAAGTAAGTAAACCGGAAACGAACGTTATCATCAATAAAAGGTGCATACATTGCGACTTGAATGATTCATAGTGTCTCCGTTGCTTGCCACAACCACAACGCATTTACCGCTTTTACAGAATATGAAGTGTTTCTAGGTGGGGTAATTTCCTTCTATAATTTACCACAAGATATAACAGTATCGATGTTGTTTGCTATACACGTTGAGGTTGTTCTTTCTCCGTGGCTATAGCAATTTGTCTAGTCTTATTTCATTCAGGGGTTTCAGAATGTGAAGAGGTTCTATGTAATTCCTCCTCCTCCTCCTCCTCTATCGGATATGCTTCTAGGTTCGTTGTTCTTAGGTCCTGTAGGAACCCCCATGTTCTGAAAGTATCTGAGTAGAGGTTTTTTCCTCCACAGAATTTGCATTTTTTCTTCTTACACTATGCCGAGCTTTCTGAAATGTCATTCAGCCGGCAAGGGCTTCAGTCAGAATTCGAAGTTTGTTTTTACTGATATTTCTTCTTCTGATTTTCGTGATTGAAGTCTTACACTAAGTAGGTAGTTTTTTTGCACTATTTTGAAGAAGTCAAAAAGAGTGGAAAGAAGATAAACAGCGTGTTCAAAAGGTTATAGTTAAACTAGTTTCAATGTTATACCTATACTAAAAGTTACTCGGGTGAGAACATTCAGGAGAATACAACATTTCAATCTTGAAAAATTAAGGGAAAGTGTAGGTGAAATTTTGAATACATGAGACAGTTTTAGCTAGGTGCGTAATTAGGTGAATAGAAGCTTTTATGCTACACAACATTCACTTAAACAGTACCTATCTTAATGAAAAACCTCTGACCATCGTATATTATGTGTGGTGATACTTAACAACCTTATTAACTTGAATCTGAAATTGCATTTCAAATTGAAATAAGCCATAAGTTTGAAAGTAGTCTTACTAGAAAAGTTGAAATAACAGAATGAAAATGGAATAATAAACATTTTAATCCAACTGTTCCATTTCATTTTTTATTTCCCTCATCATTTCTCAGATTTATTGTTGTTGTTTTGGAAATGTTTGGTTCAGATAATAATTATTGAAGTTAACCTATCCTGAATTCTGAATACTCCAATGCTATTTTCCAGGTGTTGTCTCCGATAACAAGCAGAGTTTATGGTTCCAAGGAAGTGAGGGTCGGAAATGACAAAGTTGCTCTAACGAAACTTTCCGTACAAGTCGTGTCTGGCTTGCAGCTTAACATATCCCCTGATAGTTCTTTGGAAAACGTCTATGTAGCTGAAACTGGGATCACTAGAAAATTGACTGCACAATACCAGGTAAATTATTGGAAATTAGTTGAATACATGCTGTAGTTCTGAGTTTGTTGTGCTAGTTTCGTGATAAATTGCCGAACAGTATGGCATGGAAATTGGAAAAGGAATTAGCATAATGGCCACTGAATGATTTGGAAACGACCGTTCTGATGGTAGCCTGGATTCGCCGTATTTTCTAATCCAGGACCGTACCATCGTATAGAAGCTAAATTATTGAATGTATCCTCTTCATTTAAATGAAAAAATATTACTTGCTCTGATAGAAACACATAAAGTTTTCTTTGCAAAAACGGGTTATGCTTAGTCATGCTATAACCTACAGTATCTCCATTCTTTTTGAACTCTCAAAACAGTTTCGAAATTTCAAACTAGTTACCAACCAACTGGACCAAACAATCAGATGAGTTTGGAATTATGCTATAGCAAGACTGTTAACTTTTAGGCTATGCCACTACCAAAAAATAGACGTTCACGAATGTTGTCAAATTCGTAACAGACAATTAAATGTTTCAACTAAGATAAAGTCAAAATGCTTGTAGCGGTATGAAATGACAATGATAAACAAAAAAGAGCTAAAAAGTAATTCCCATGTTCAAGAATTGAACAACAATGGTAGATAACGGAAAAACAACTACTAGCCTGGCTAAGCCACGCAGAATATTGAATTGCATCCTCCTGAATTCCATTCCAAAATACTGAATTGTTTTTAGGTTGTTACTAAGTTTATAAGAATACAAAAAAAAGGTTGACGTATGGCTGATACGTTCGCACGACTTTTTTCTCGGTTAATAAAAATTAAATCCAGCATTGTTGAGCATTTTCACATCAAAATAAGTTACAAGTTGCTTCTTAATCAATATTGGACATTTTTCTCAATAAGTTTTTGATGACATTATCATCCTGAATAAGATTTAGTAATTTGCAATATAAACTATCTCATTTTCAAAGATACACTTCTGAGCTCTCACAGTGGCTTTGATATTTGAATAGGTGTAGATGAGTTATAGTATTCTACTTGCTATGGCTATTACCCACTCAGTTGATTACATCATTCGCAGTCGGCCCGTAGTCGTTTTTTTTTTATTTTCCGAATAGAATCATCACTTTCAATTCAATTTTTTATGTCGATTTTGAGGAGCTAAAATCATCAATTCAAACGGCTAGAAATTTACCGCGAATAAAAACGGACTTCACGATTTCGTAAGTAGGGGCAGAGCATAGCACAGTTGTCATATGTTGAAATACGATTGGACGAACGAAATTCTCATTTATGTATCAGTAATATCCTTGATTAGTTATAAAGAATACAATCTCTCAAAATTATTCCTCTCATTGCTTATGAAGAATTTGTATTGTTTATAATTATGTTAATTCACACTAGAGGGCATTTGGTCCGGTAAACGTGACAACACAGGATTGTGGGCGTTGTCTTGTCAGTTATCAGCATCAAGCACCAGCATTGCCTAGTCAATATTCAATATCTACATGATATTTTGTTATGGAGTATAAAAAATATTTTGACCAGCTGGTTGCTCGAAAAAGTCACGGTTTAATAACTATATATCATGGCTTCCTCCTTTTAGATCAAATAGATCAAATGAAATATTTCATTCGAATGTATAGCTTTATTCAGCGAGAGGATTCCTACAACTTTTTGGTAACATGATTATAATTGGTGATTTGACAACCTTGCTTCGTGAATGGGAATGGCAGATTATCTGACCAATGTTCGACGTATCACAGAACATGTCCAAATGGCAGTCATCATGGCACGTATGAAATGAGTTTTGAAATTCAATAATTTTGAACAACGCATAGACACATTATTTACATCAAAATTGCAAAATTGATTCAGGTCCGTATCGACACAGTGAAGTAACTAAATATCAGCTATTCACTGCTAGTCCGGTATCCCATTTTCATCATCGTTAGTAATAGTCAATTTCATGAATTTAAGAGAATGTTTTTTTTATATCATTTACTAAAAATATAATCATAAGATTAATTACTGATTCAATATTGACAATGTTGTAATTGCAGAAGTAGAGGAAAGAAGACATTTGGGTGTGATTTTGGACAAAAAATGGACATTTCAATCCCATTTTAATAACTTGATCAATAAGTCTAACCGCATTTTAGGCTTTGTAATTAGAAATGTTAAACCTTTCAGAAAACCCGAACCAATACTAACTGTGTATTACGCTTACGTTTACAGCAAACTCCAATTTGCGTCAGTTATCTGGAATCCTTGCTATGTATGCTACATCAGTCGCCTAGAAAACATACAAAATAGGTTCCTCAGATTTATGAGACTCAAATTCGCCGTTTCCTTTTCCTGCCCAGTAAATGCATATGCATCTATTAGAAATCATTATGAAATGTTGTCGCTACATGACCGTAGGAAAGTTACAGAAATAGTATTTCTTTATAAATTATAAAACAATTTAGTTGATAGTTCGGATATTCTCTCCTACCTTAATTTTCACATTCCTAGCAGACTACTTAGACAGAACAACGTTTTCGAACTATTTTTTTCCCGTACAAATGTAGCAAAAAATCTTCCAGTTAATCGTATGTTAGAGACATATAATAAGCACTGTTCCGATTTCGATATTTTCAACATTCGCTCAGTCGCTGCTCTGAAAAACAAACTCAAAACTTATAATTTTATCCATCGTCAGTGAAAGACTAAAATTATGTCATTAGTTGTAATGTCTAAGTGCACCCTCCTTTTTCCTATTATTGTAATATGTTCTTCTTTTCTTGTCTTTACTTTTCTTTTCAATACTTTCAATTCAATGAGGTCACTATCAAAATCAAGTGTCTATCTATATACTCACCATTTTGTGTATTGTATACCAATATCTATTCTTTTTTTACTACTCACTCTTTCGTTCAATTTCACAATATTATGGTAATAATTTCATCAAATATTGTAGTTTATCTAACTCAATTGATATGGGTACCATAATTTAAAAAATAAATAAATTAATAAATCAATAAATAAATAGTTATCAGTATGCGCTCATTGAATAATGTACTAGTATCGTTATAAAAACATTTTCATTTCGCTCCAGGAGGGCCTCCTGGACATCGAGCTGGAGTTCTCCGACGGTCAACGAACCCCCCTGCGTGACTTCTCTGACTCTGACTACCACCTGGTGGTCGAGAGCCTCGACCCGGAAGTGGTCGCCTTCGCTCCCATGGTCGCCTCCCACCACCCGCGGGTCATCGCCGTGGGGGAAGGGGGCGGCGACCTCCTCCAAGTGACCCTCCTGCTGGCGGAGGAGTGCAGGGTCGGCTCCAGGCCGAGAGGAAAGTCCGGGGGGCCTTTGGCCACCGCTGCTGCTTCTATCAGCGTGGATTTCAGCAGCGGAGATTTGGCGCACCGGCCTGATATTCTGCAGAATGATGGAGGGAGTTATAGTGGAGGGAAAGGAAGGGAGTTTTTGGACCTGCAGGATATTCTGAAAGGTACAATGAGAATGTGTTCGTTTTTATGATTTCGCAGTATAAGACCTCGCTGTGATGCTAATATCAACAACATAGCCTGGATCAAAAAAGATTCATTCACGCAGTTCAATTTGAATAGGTATAGTTAATTACCCAAAAATATAGAATATGCAAACATATAATGGAATACAAACATTAACTAGAAAATTTCTCAACGAAATAGTTGCATTCATCCATGTTTTCGCCATTTATGATTCCCTATAGAGAATGCACAAAAATAATCAAAGACAAACATGACCTAGCAAATTTCTGCCACCGCTGCCGCTTTGATTAGCGTGGACTTTAGTGAAGGGGATTTTTGCACTGGCCGCAGACTGGTGAAAGTTATAGTGGGGGAAAGTGAGGAAGTGCCTGGACTTGCAGGATATTCTGAAAGGTACGACGAGAATGCGTTCTGGGGGGCTTTTTATTTTTATGATGTCTGATGAAGAATGAACATTATGGTAATATCAAAGGACATGACCTAGAGAATCCGCCTGCTCATAATTTCCAAGTATAGGTACTCACCCAATCTAGTTTCACGAGTAGTTTATAATCAGAGCTTCTCAATTTTCTCTCAATAATCATTCTGGAAGTAATACAAGTGAGTTTTTTTTTCAACAATAGAACCGAGAAATATTTCTAGTTAAACATAACAATCGATTCAATCGGTAATGAATTGGTCTATTTCATTCTATGATGGAAAATTTTAAATTGTTGTTCTGAATAATAGATTGATTCGACAAAATTCACGTTCACATTCCATGCTCTCATTGGTTACGAATATTCTCTGGAAGTCTTCTTCTTCACTGGCTACTTTTCGAAGGTGCCGATTTTCATTTCTATAAAATGAATCGTTTGTCTTCGTGTTCATAATAGATGGCTGCATCAATACCAACCTGTTTTTAAGGTTCTGCAACGAAAGATGACGACTCTCAAGAGCCGAACGTCCAAGCTCGCCAATATCAAGGAAACAATAAGGGGGTGCCCAAACATAGGGTACAAAGTCACTCCACTCCTTTAGAGATCAGCATGTATGTTCTCTTGGCAGCCTTCTGTTGTGCAATAATGGTGAGTAGGTGATAATGACAAATCGATATTTCACTACGGTGAGCTTATAGTCTTGCACAAATCAATTTTTGCGGCCATGTCGAAAGAAAATTTATTCTTTCAACATCTCCAACACAATGATACAACTCCAGGTCCAAGAAAATGTGTGCAATGAAGCTATTCATTCAGATACCAATCTTAAATAAGTCTATATTGTTCCGTCATCAATATTATGCTATAATTTCTCATCCTGTATTTGCATCTACACACTATAATAAGCTATTAAAATATTAAGCAAAGATAGTTTTTCCTGTGTGTTATGTCAGTTAACAAACACATTTGGGAAAGACTCCTATAACCTTCAAGTTTTCATTCAAATAGAGTAACTTGATTAAAAATTTGTAATTTATTTTGTATTGTAATGTATTTTCTTTTCCGTCAGGCGGGTGCAAGTGCACCCTTTCACCCAACTACCGGCGCCCATGCATTTACTTACATATAGGTACTTTTAATCTGATGATACATTTATTCATTCATAATATCATCATTGTATCATGAATCAATATAAAAATAAAAACATATATCTACCCCGCCAAACTCTTGTAGAGCTAGTTCAAGTGGTTGGTTATACGATGTGTCCCAGAACAACGAACCATAAATTCTACAGGGTGAATTAGAGACCAAAATAGGAAGATTAGAGTCATCTTACTTAAATTCTGAATATTTAGAAATCCTTTGAGGGTACTGCTCTAAAATTCGTATGGCAATTTACTATCGTGAATTTTCACGAAAAACATGTCATAACGATTCAACCAATATACAGGGATTTTTTTATATGGAATATGCGCTGTATATTTTGATAGATGAATCTGTATCTTACGTAATCGTTCGGTGAGGATCCTGAAATTTGCTGGAGTGAGAGATATACCAAAAATGCACTCTATAACCAAGTAGGGCCATCTTCAGTGATATACACTGCTCGCTAACAGCCATGGAACCACCCCAATTTCCGGAAAATGATATTAGGAGTCAAAATAGGTTGAACATCACTTCAGATTTGGAATCAGGGCGCCCAATTCACTATTCATAGTTCCCCTAGAAAACTTTCAGTTCAGAAAAATTTAATTTTGTCTCACTTCTCATGGAATTACCCCCGTATCTCACATAATTATTGAATGTAGGGTTCTGAAATTTGCGAGAGGAAGGGAAAGTCCAAAGATGAAGTCAATTATGTAAGATACTGGGGTGCTTCTGTAAAAAGTGCGACAATATTCAATTTTTCAGAACTGAAAATTTTCTAGGAAAAATATGAATAGTTAGTGAATTGGGCGTCCTGATTCCGAATCTGAAGTGATTTTCGACTTACTCTAACTCCTAATATCATTTTCCGAAAATTGGGGTGGTGTCATGGCTGTTGGCGAGCAGTCTATATCACTGAAGATTACCCCACTTGGTCATAGAGTGCATTTTTGGTATATCTCTCGCTCCAGCAAATTTCAGGATCCTTACCCAACGATTACGTGAGATACAGAGGTGTTTCCATTAGTAGTGTTTGAAATCAGGACGATTTAGGAAATTCAAATTTATCGAAATATACAGGGCGTTTCATTTGAAAAATATATTTATTTTTGTATATTTGAATAGATATTGCATCATTGTCAAAATGAGTGAAATCTGTGCGAAATGTATTGTATTAAATCAGTTTTGAAATTTTTTGAATTGGTGGAAAACAAAAAAGATAGAGGGGAGTTCACATTAATGACACTAGCCCTGTACTTTGGGGACTGTAGTAGAGCTAGACTCCGATAAATAATGAAGGAACTTAACTGTCCATAATTGTCCATTTCAAGGTTTTCGTGATATCGTGCGTGGTCTACGCCTCGAAATTCAAACCTCTCGATCCGGGCATAACTGCCGGCCTGCACGCATCCCCTGTGAACCCCAGCAATATGGTCATACACCGTGAACCGCGCAAGCCCAGAGAATCCACCACCAACGCCCACGACTGGGTGTGGCTGGGTCGCGCCACCGTCGACCACGCCCATCGAAACTCCGCCCATTCAACTAACCACGCACATCGAAACTCCGCCCTCTCGACCACGCCCAAGAGTCTCCCGACAGACATGCGCATCATCGCCAATCCGCTGAACACGAACTACTGCGACCCCGAGGACGCGTTGGCTACCAGCTTCAGCAACCCGAGTCACATCGAGTTGCCTAGCAAAGGGGACTTGAACGCCAACAGATCCGTCGATAGCAGCACTTATTGTAAGAGCAAAGTTGGTGAAGGGATTAGTAACGCTAACAATAACGATGATCTGCAAGTCTGGTAGGTGGCAAAGTGATATACTTACGTGAATCGCCAAATTTGGTATACCTTCGCTATAGATCATTTCCCAGGCAACCAGATGACGTTTCAGTGATGTCTTTTTACGTCAGTTGAATGACCAAGATGACGTCAGGAGTTGACGTCGTATGACGTGATAAATGACGTGAATAAGTCACAGCCCAATGACGTCATATTACTCACATTTATTGACCTCATTCACTCACCAAACTGTGACGTCGGACTGACGTCGAAATGACGTTCAAATTTGGTGATGACACGTAAAAAAGTTTCCTCGAACATAGCGTGATAATCACCGCTGACCTCTGATGACATATAATATTGATTATGCATTGTTGAGTTTGCTTGGAGGTCCCTCCGGTGTCATGTCCATTCAATCGTCTATTCAGCAGTGCTATCCCTCAGTACTTATCTCCATCAGTTACTCGTATTTGTGTCAAAAATTATATAGTTTGTGTCGGCGAGATGTAAGCAAATCAAGAATAGTTTGATAGCAATGAAAAGGATGCTGGTGAATTTAGCTTCACTTTCTTGAGTAACGTATATATTCATGCATTATTATAGTCACCCAACAAAAATCTAAATAGCAAATTATTGAGAAATTTTCTGAATGACGAAGCTCACCAAATTGGTACGTCACACCGACGTGATTTTTAGACGTCATAGATACGTCACTGAAACGTCATAAAAGTGACGGTTTCAATAATATTGATACACCTATATTATCATCTGTACATATACATATATATATAGCTTGATTGGTTTCCGAGATATACAGGGTGTCAAAGTTTAAAAAAAGTTTTCTCTAACTTTTTGGGTATATATATAATTCCAATAAAACTTGCATGTTGATTTGTTTTAATGAGTAATACTTCTATCGACGTTAGAAGCATATATTCAAAATTACCAAGTCTTACATGTTTCTGTATATGTGTGTAAAATTAATGAAAAAACGACTTTTTCTGTAAAATTTTCGACACTGAAAATGCACATCCTGTATATATAGGTACGTCACAAACCTAACGGTTTCAAATGATAATGTAAGTATACATGGTTTAGATATGGTCTGGGTAACATGGACGTCGACAGGACGTCCCTGTAACGTCATGAAACTGACGTCTTATTTTACCCTTCTAAAGTGACATTCACTCGACGTCGAGATGATGACGTGATCATCACGTCATAGAAAGTAGGTCATAGTGAAATTGGTATGTGACGTCTCTGACGAAAAATCACCAATTAGGGACGTCACAGTGACGTGATCATTCGTCATCTGGTTGCCTGGGGCATGCCCTCGAGGGAATCGTTCTCTCGATCCAAAAATAAGGCCCCAGTTATCTAATCCACTGACTTCTTCACACATCAACTCTACCTCCTCACGGCGTTCTCATGCAAACCCTTCACGACACCCTCAGCGATTATCGTCCTCCCGTACCTCCGCATCGTAACATTCTCAATATTTGTTCAGATGAAAAATGTTTTTCCAATTTTTATAATATATGTTTTCTATAAGGAAAATAATAGGTCGAACTGAACAAACCGGAGTGACGATTTTTTTATGCATTGCCATTGATGGAATTAAAAACTCATAATTTGTTCAAACGCTGAAAATGTGAATGATTGCACAACCTAATTCAGCCTGAATTCAATTTGAGGCTAAGTAAAAGTATGATTTCCTTGACTTAAGTAAAAGAAGTTGTATCCCGCGTTTTCAATAAATAGGTTCTTGTAGTCGACTAAAGAATTGAAGGATAATTTTAGGATTCATATGGAGCTGGTCAAATTTTATCTTCTTCCTGAAATCTTGAAGCAAATAAGCTGTTGTTCGGGATTATTCATGTCAATTAATAGGTATTGCCTATTAACACAGTATGGAAATGAAATGACAGTTTTTCGGAAAATGAAGAGGCTGTCACTATCGAAGCAGTAGTATTTTTTTATAAACTACAGTTGATCCCAACTGCTTGAGATTTCGAATATTCCCACTGTCATATGAGCATGCATAAAGTCCTGAATAAAGTTCTCACTCGATTACGATTCTTAATGCTGAATTGAATTGTTGTTGGGTTGTTTCCAGATTTAATCAGGTCGTGCATGAATCCACCTCAACTGATGACGAAATTTCACGGAAAAGGGGTCTTATTTTTGAATTGAGTGAACTAGTCCGCAGAGATAAAGGTGGACGTGTCGCTCACTTCAGAAGCAAATTATCTCGTTCTCCACTGTTTCTCTTGATAAATAGCAAGATAAACAGAAACTCCGTTCCATCTTCTCTCATAATACACCAAAAAAAATCAGTGAAAAGCGATATTGTAGACATTTTAGACCCAGCATTTCCTCGAGGGAATCGTTCTCTCGATTAAAAAATTAAGCCCCAGTTATCTAATCCACTGACTTCTTCGTAGGAATAAACCAACACCCCCACCACCTCTACCTCCTCACGGCATTCCCATGCAGACCCCCCAGGACACCCTCAGCGATTATCGTCCTCCCGTACCCCCGCATCGTAACATTGGAGTCACCGCCAGCACCACGGCATCAGAAACTGGACCTGCGAAGAGACCTCATCACCACCACTACCGGAACAAAAGCCAGGATAAATCGAATATCCACAGGCAAGAACAGAGATTCACGGCTTGACTTGATATTCAAGCTACTTGACTTGACTTGACTTGAAATCAAGTCAAGTTCAAGTCAAGCGAAAGTTTTTTAATGTCAAGTCAAGTCAAGTAATTATTTATCAAGTACTTGAAAAATCAAGTAGTTCCATCAAGCTACTTGATTTTCAGCAGTTTTATTGTGTATCTATACAGCGTGACTCACGGTCGATGTTATAGGTTAGACGTTTATGGAGAACGCGACGCGGGATTTTTCTGAAAATTTCGCATACACAAAAAATTCCTGAAGTTGAAAAATCTCGATTTTTCGCACTCTATATCTCCATAATCTTTTCCGCTATACCCCGAGTGTGATGTATCGATGAAATCAACTCTTCAAGGAGAATCTGAAAATGCAATAGAATACAGGGTGTTCAATTCGAAATAACAAAGTGGTTCCTACTTTTCTATAGAAGCGGCAACGTCGTGATTTTGAAAATATATTAGATCGATAGTACCGGTGATGAAATGTGAGATGCGCAATTTTCAGAAAAATCCTGCGTTGCGTTTCTATCATTATTCCCAACTAGCATTTTCAGTCACAGGCACCATGGTTCAAGAAACTATTACCTATATTTAGTAGGTGCGTTCGGTTTAACAAAATCGGAGCCGAGCGAGCAGATGCAGATTTGGTGTCACGTGATCACCTAGCAGATAGAGCTAAAGATATTTAACGAACGCTCAACGAGGTAGTAGATTGCAGATTGCAGAAGTAACACAAAACAGAAACAATTCACTTAATCTTATTACTTTTAAAAACACTTCAGGGCAACAAAGTTTTTTTGAATGTTTGTTGTTTATACTTTGAAAATTACTAGGGAAGGAATGATTCTGTCTAATATGATCGGTCATTAACTGTGGATCCAGGGCAGTTGTGATCGCATATATTACAGATATATAATTAATATGCTACCTACAGCAAATTCGTCGGTCATTCTGGCGATTCTGGGCAATGAGGATTCTACAAAATTCAGTTTTGTATTTCGTTTCCAGTTGATCGAGTCTTCAATTTTTCGTCATAAAAGAGATATAATTTCAATAACATGTTGTTGACATTGATTTGTTGCCAATTGACAACCGAATAACCGATCAAATCTGAATGATCTGCTCCTCAAGGCGGAGCAAACAGATTACATCTTTCAGCTCGCTCTGACAATTAACGAACACGGAGCAGATTAGACAGAGGAAGTAGATCTGATTTATCGAACGCTTTCCGAGCTAACAGATGGAATCGAGCTAACAGATATGTTATAACCGAACGCACCTTGTGATGTATCGATGAAATCAACTCTTCAAGGAGAATCTGAAAATGCAATAGAATACAGGGTGTTCAATTCGAAATAACAAAGTGGTTCCTACTTTTCTATAGAAGCGGCAACGTCGTGATTTTGAAAATATATTAGATCGATAGTACCGGTGATGAAATGTGAGATGCGCAATTTTCAGAAAAATCCTGCGTTGCGTTTCTATCATTATTCCCAACTAGCATTTTCAGTCACAGGCACCATGGTTCAAGAAACTATTACCTATATTTAGTAGGTGCGTTCGGTTTAACAAAATCGGAGCCGAGCGAGCAGATGCAGATTTGGTGTCACGTGATCACCTAGCAGATAGAGCTAAAGATATTTAACGAACGCTCAACGAGGTAGTAGATTGCAGATTGCAGAAGTAACACAAAACAGAAACAATTCACTTAATCTTATTACTTTTAAAAACACTTCAGGGCAACAAAGTTTTTTTGAATGTTTGTTGTTTATACTTTGAAAATTACTAGGGAAGGAATGATTCTGTCTAATATGATCGGTCATTAACTGTGGATCCAGGGCAGTTGTGATCGCATATATTACAGATATATAATTAATATGCTACCTACAGCAAATTCGTCGGTCATTCTGGCGATTCTGGGCAATGAGGATTCTACAAAATTCAGTTTTGTATTTCGTTTCCAGTTGATCGAGTCTTCAATTTTTCGTCATAAAAGAGATATAATTTCAATAACATGTTGTTGACATTGATTTGTTGCCAATTGACAACCGAATAACCGATCAAATCTGAATGATCTGCTCCTCAAGGCGGAGCAAACAGATTACATCTTTCAGCTCGCTCTGACAATTAACGAACACGGAGCAGATTAGACAGAGGAAGTAGATCTGATTTATCGAACGCTTTCCGAGCTAACAGATGGAATCGAGCTAACAGATATGTTATAACCGAACGCACCTAGTGATAATAACGTATTTATCACTTATTTCAGAACTTCATAGTATAAATGTCAGTGATAGTTATTTAGTGAGTGAAAATTACGTAGTTTTTACACTAGATAATAACTTCAAAGTGAGAAATTCTCATGGCTTATTACGAAGTAACTATTTCGAAACTGTCACTCCTCAAAACTACTCTTAAGGTTTCGGAACTTTGGATATATTATTACGGTAACGCTTACCACCCCAAGAAGGCTTCACAGTTGCAATTACTCTATGGTCACCAATTAGGTTTCTACGACGTTGTCGTTACTTGATCGATCACCTAATAATTTAGTCAATTCTTGGTGATATTTCAAGTAACATATTGGTAATTCCTACTCAAACAATTCCTTCATAGTTGAAACAACTTTTCGGTAATTATATTCAGTTGAAGTTACCAATACATAGGTTATCATAACTGACGAGTTCCAAAAGTAACTTTCTGATTCATTTTCGATTGGAAGCCATATTGATTGATGTGATAACCATTTGAACAGGAAATAATCTTGGTTTTTCTTGTTGATAAACATCATTTTATGAAGAATAATAGCATTCGTTCGATCACAAATTGCATAATAATGGAAATTAACATGATTTACGATGATTTTTGAAAAATAGCCGAATGAAATAAAACCATATTTTTGGTGAAATGAGCCGTATTTTGTGGGCGCATCTTGAATTTCGAGGCAAAATCATCACATTTATCGAAAAACTGAATGTTGTTCGAATTTTTCAAGTTCGAGTATCAATTATTTCGCGTGTTTGTCCTTGTATTATTTATTGAATGGTTAGGCATATTGGACTTGTTCATTTTTCGTGAATGTGAACTTCATGGATGAAATGAAGAATAATAAAGAGAGAAAATAATATTTTTATGAAGTGGAAAAGAAATAGAAAGTCAGGTAGGAAAATTTACTACATCTTTACGTAATTTCGACGTCGACGGGTCGTAAGCATTACGTAATTGTGTGAGTTCCCGCTACGTCGGCAAACCGTAATAATTACTCGTGATTTGTTCCCCATTTTGGTCGTAAATACGTAGTAACGACGTAATTATAACGTAACCGCAACTAGTAAATATTACTTAATAGTCGACCCAATAGTCGTAATTACGTAATCGCGACTATAAATGCTAGTTGGATAACGTGAACGTCTAACCTATACCATCGACCGTGAGTCACCCTGTATATAACTGATGAAATGAAAATGGCATCGTAAGACTGACTGCGCGATCGATTCAGTCAGCTCGGATCTCGGGGAACCCCCGTATTTTGTCTAAGCGTGAGCGAACTTGCAGCGCCGTGCGACTCGTGCATATCAAGATCAAGTATTATCAAGTAGCTTGATTTCAAGTCAAGTAATAAATATCTCAAATTCAATTCAAGTCAAGTACGTAATTTGCCACGAGCTTGATTTTCAAGTCAAGTCAAGTAGTTTGTTAAAATATCAAGCTACTTGACTTGATGAATCTCAAGGCAAGAAGAATATCATGTTTTATTCTTTCTCTTTATTCCCTAAACAGGCTGCTAGTCCTTAATGGACCGTCTTTCTAAAATGAATATTTTTCGGAAAATCACTCGGGAAAACAGAATGAAAAAGTCGCATGCATTGAGCCCAGGTCGCCAGTGTGTAGCTTCTAAAGCTCAAGCAACTACGCTACGAACGTACAGGGTGATTCACCATAAATGTCCCTCCCTCTAGCTCAGTTATTTTTGAACCGATTGCAAAATTTTGAATATCATCTGAAATGATTTCCGATAGAGGTTTTTTCCGCTACATCAGAAAATACAAGGTGCTCGGAACAAACGATCTACAGGGTCCTATTTGATTTTTTTAAATGAAACACCCTATTTTTCATTGTATTTATTATTAACTTTTGATTTACAATCTACTGACATTTAATAATTGGAACAGATACAGGGTGATCGGAATTCTGAATCTTGAACCACACTGTATATGTTCCAATTAAATGTCAGTAGATAGTAAATCAAAAGTTGATATAAGGACATCAATGCCGTTTTGACCAATAATGAATGGTTTCGACACAAAAAAGTACTAAAGTTGAAAAATCTCGATTTTGAACACCCTATAATCTCTGTAATCATTCCCGCTAGACCCCGAGTGTGATACATTGATGAAATCAGCTCTTTAGGGAGAATCTAATAATACAATGAAATACAGGGTTTTCCTTAAAAAAATCAAGTAGTACTCTGTAGATCGTTTGTTCCGAGCACCCTGTATTTTCTGATGCAACGGGAAAAAATTTCTGAAAAATCATTTCAGATGATTTTTAAAATCTTCAAATCGGATAAAAAATAAGTGAACTAGAGGGGGGGGCATTTATGGTGAATCACCCTGTACTTGAAGATTGGTGCATGATAATATAGTCGCTCTCCCACCGCGATGATCATTTTTTTTGTCCTGACTGTAAGCGCTAGTAAACATCCTCAGTATTGCCAAACAAATGATATGATCCATATAGTGAAGTCATGTAGCTATTATATAAGATAGCAGCTTTTATATTGATAGCAAAATTGTCACATTACAGTTACATCATAGTTACGTTACATTTTCATATAAATATGGGGTTCAAATATTTTAGAATTGTTATTACGTGAATATTTTATATAAATACGAAAAAAGTTCCGTTGATGTTATATAACAATTATGTAAATAAAACAGATGTGTTTATATCGAGAATCAGTCAGGAGAAATCCATGGAAATGTGCATGCCTGTATTTTAGAATACGCTCTCTTCATTTAAAATATTTTCGACAATGCATCAGTGTTGTCGCTTCTACTAGGAAGTAGTAGCAACATTGCTATTTCAAATGGGACATTCTGTATTTTATCGCATTCTAAGATTCTCCCTAAAAAGCTGATTTTATCGATGCATCACACTTGGGGTCTATCGAAAATGATTACAGAGACATAGGGTGTTCAATATCGAGATTTTTCAACTTTGAGATTTTTTTGTGGCGAAACTATTCATTATCGGTCAAACCGGCTCACATGTCTCTATCTCAACTTATGATTAACTATTTATACTGATATTTAAACGGAACAGAGACAGGGTGGTTCAACATTCAGAATTCTGATCAATCCACTCGAATATGTGATGGATGACAATTGAGAATGCAAATCCTTGTAAACACTGCAGAGTAACATAATAATAATAATAATAATAATAATAATGAGATGTAGAAAACAATACAAATGTCAATTAATATTCACGTAACAAACTTTGTTCTTAATATTTGCGGAGATTTGTTTGAAAATAGGGGTTCAAAAACATATACTGTTCTCATACATTGTATTATCTATTGATAGAAATAATGCAAAAGCTGATGATGGAACTGATGAGAGCAAACAAGAAGAAAATAGAGACCAACGCATGTTCGAATTTGATGATGAACCTCAAGCTTCGGATTCAAAGAAAGAAGAGAAGATAGAGTTCGTCCAGTATCCGAAATCACCTTCTGTCAATGGTAGGTTATATTGACATCAAAATATAAAGCGAATGGGTTGCATGCAAGAACTGTCAGATGACGGACCTCTTGGAGTTGAAACATTGAAAGACAACCTCACCTTTCTTATTTGTTCACAGATGATTGAAATAGTTTTTCACAATTATTTTGGCATAGAAATCGTGTTTTTTTAGGCTATTCATAAATTGGCGCTGGCCTTCACATTGTGCTGTTGTACAATGCACAAATAATGCAGCGAGAGACGAAGGAATCCGGTTGGTACATTATGATTTGAAAGTAAGCACCTACTATATTCACTCACATATAGTTTTCATTTTGAAATTTGTTAATTTCTCTGAGTTCTGATCGTATATAATTCCTTCTGCAATAGGAGCTAATGTGATATTTTTAAAAGAATGCAAGAAGATTGAATTCATGCAAACAAACGGGATGACTTATCTAACATGCTGACGAAATATGTTCGTGTGTGTTGTAGACATTTTCAATCTATTAACAGTATTAGCTTCTATTGCAGAAGATGCAGAAGGAATTTTAATAAGAAATGACAAAGTTTCGTAATGAAAACTATGTGAGAATACTACTTACCTGAAAAATCATATTCCTTGGTCTCTTGTTGCATTTTTTATGTATGTACAACTGCACAATGAGAATGCATGTTTGAATTAATGAATAGCGCAAAAAACACGATTCGTACGCCAAAATATTGTGAAAAACTATTGCAATCCTTTGATTCCTCTGTAAACAAATAAAAAAAGCGAGGTTGTGTTTCAATGTTTTACAAAAAAGTGAGGTTGTGTTTCCATATTTTACCTACAGGGTCGGTCATCGTGCACGCGACCTATTAAAATTTAGAAAAAAATTATCTAAGCAGACGTGTGTATGTATAGGCGTTCATCGTTGCAACAATTTTCTATTTATTTTTAGGAAAGAGGAATAGTGCTGAAGTAAAACGAGCAACCATAGTGGGAAATCCAATGTTCAGGGCAGACGACGATATTTTGGAGACCAATAAAACGACAGCCGAATTGGCAAATATCGATGATCTTCAATTGGACATGGATTATGATCAGATCATGCACTATTTCGAAAATTTGAAGGTGAGATATTATCAAGCTTGAATAACTCGATTCGGTCATCAATTGAATAAACATGAATCAAATTCAAGTGATTTAAGACTCTTTAAACAGACGTTATCAATCGATACCTTTGTGACGTAAAAAATTACATCAATATATCAGTGCAATGAAGTAATTTTACAGGTTATAATTACGTGTTTGTTGAATGATTTAAGATAAAGTGGAAGGTAATTTGTTTAGGTCAGATATTAGTTTCATATATAATGACTTATTGGTTGTGTCTTGTAGAGTTCAGTTTCTCCTCGATCTGATGGAAATCGATTTTATAACACCATCAGGGTCGAATGCGAGTAGAAACTTAAATGCATAACCAAAAATTGTTTTTGGGAATTTCGACTTATTTATGTATTGAAAATCTAAACCCCCATCCCAGGCAACCAGATGACGTTGCAGTGACGTCTTTTTTACGTCACTTGAATGACCAAGGTGACGTCAGTAGTTGACGTAGCATTGACGTGATAATGACGTGAATAAGTCACAGCCCAATGACTCACCAACCTGTGACGTCCGACTGACGTCATAATGACGTCAAAATGACGATTGAATTTGGCGATGATACTTACGTAAAAAAGATCCCTTTAACATGGTGTGATAAACACCACTAGCCTCTGATGACATTATATAATATTGACTATGCATTGTTGAGTCTGCTTGCTCCATCAGAATGCAATCAGTTACTCGTATTTGTATAAAAAATTATGTAGTTTGTGTCGGCGAGATGTAAGCAAACAAAGAATGGTTTGATAGCAATGGAAAGGATGTTGCCGAATTCGGCTTCACTTTGTTGAATAATGTATATTGATGCATTCTTTGTCACCCAAGAAAAATCTAAATAGCAAATTATTGGAGAATTTCCTAAATGACGAAGCTCACCAAATTGGTACGTCACACCGACGTGATTTTTAGACGTCGTAGATACGTCACTGCAACGCCATAAGAGTAACGGTTTCAATATAGGTATACCTAAACAATCATCATTATATATACATAGCTTAATGTTGGTTTCCGAGATATACACAGTGTGTCAAAGTTTTCTAGAAAAAAGTTTTTTTACTACTTTTCGGTTATACTAATAATTAGAATGAAAATTGCATGTTGATTTGCTTTCATGAGTTATACTTCATGATAATATATAAGTATCCATGGTTTAGAGAAGGTCTGGGAAAAATGGACGGCGACAGGACGTCCCTGCAACGTCATGAAACTTACGTCTTATTTTACTCATCTAAGTGACGTTCACTCGACGTCGAGTACGTCATAGTGACGTCATAAATTGGTGTGTGACGTCTCTGACGAAAAATCACCAATTAGGGACGTCACAGTGACGTGATCATTCGTCATCTGGTTGCCTGGGATCCAGAGCGAATATACCCTCGGTCTAGAGATTATTGATATATTCCAGGAATCGAATGCCTGAGTAGAAGAGATCATTGCAAAAATCCGTGACATACTGTTATCGTTCAGCGAGCAATACCGAGCCTCGGCCCTCAACGGCAATCCAGCCAGCCTGGATCCCATCCAGAACGACGCGAGCCAGAGTTTCGACTATTTTTTCGATCATCTCAGCGAATCGTACGCTTGAAATAATCGTTCCTCGCATCAACCCACTGAGCAAATCTGGAAGATATGTTGAGGCAAGGTTGTAGCAATTACTGAAACGGATGTACAGCAATATTGCAAATGTAAATTTGTAAATGTAACGTTCCAGCAATGTTACCTTCGCAATATTGCTCTGAACGCCCGTTTCAGTAATTGTTTCAATATTGCATCAACATAGCTTTCAACTTTGCTTAGTGGGAATCCAGGGTCAATTAACGTTGGGAGCTTGGGACATTATAGTATCATAATTATATGCCTATATCATCATGTATACCCGTTATGTAATAACGCAAGACTGAACTTTTACTTATCAGTTGACCTCAGAGTTGGAATTTTTATTGAAGGAAAATGGTGAATGTGTATTTCATTCAGATTCAGATCCATCTTTTTTCAGGAAGGAGAACTTTGGTTGTGAAAGGTAAAATTTTGATTGACAAATATGCACTGATGACGACAAAACAGAACGTTATAACTGGATCTTATCTTGCTTTTTTCAGGTTTGCTTATGTAAAAAGTGTGATGAAAGTTTTGAATTCTCAATTTGCAAAATTTCCCACTTTGAAAAACATTTTTAGGTGTGAAATAATGTGAATTTATAAAAGTTTGTTTGCTGTTTTAATGACACTAAAGCCTTGAAATCATAAAGATTCCATCATTAAAAGGGTATATAGAAATGATAGAGGAAATTTTTGTAAAGGATGTTTGCAGTGATCTAATGAATTTAATCTAGTCAAAAAATTCAAGCTTTATTATAGTATGTAAAAAAAAATGATGTATTGATACATTTTATCATCCGTTTGATATAATGCGGAATTTATGATTTCAGTCGAATTGTAGCACTTTATTTGTAATCAAGTCACACAATTGAGTGCTAATTATTGAGAATATTAGGTATCTTTATTCTATTCAGACAGTCATTTTCTGGGTTATAGTTGGCTATCATACGTTTTCTCTAGTGAAATTAGATTACATAAGCTTCATGCCAGCTTCTAGGCATCATTCAAATATTATGCTGCTGTTTTTGGAAAAAAAATGGCATAATATAAATATTCATTTGGGTATAATACAATTCATGAATTTGTTAAAACTTCCAACTTAGAGATAAATTATAACGTATCAGAGCATACAGCAATGCATTTTGGAATAGAATAAAGAAACAGTAGGTACTTAATTTCACCTTGCTGTCTTGGATTAATTTGTACAATTTTGTATAATAATATGATTGTGTATATAATATAGAATGTGTATATTTCCCCGACTGATATTATATAAAGGGATTTTATTTATTTAACAAATATCGCGTGTTTACTCAGAATATTCGAATCCCTGGTTTTCCTAATAGAGATTGTGTTGCTTTTATAGTTTTTGGATGAAAATGAAGGGTCAATTTTATTTGCCCACAAGGAGAAACATAAATGACCCTTCAATTCTCATCGAACTTGAATAATACAATCTCTCACATTTGGCTTCAAAATTTCCAATGGTTTGTTAGGGTACCTATATATATGCTCAACTGCTCAAGCATCGTTCTTAATTCCTCTTGTAGATATTGTTCTTTGTTTGTCGCGCCATTTAAACAAAGATAACCTCTCAGTTTTGCTCGTTTCGGAGAGAAGCCAAAACAATTAAATCGAATGATAGATTTGCAGCTCGAGCATATAACTATAACTCACGAACAGACCTCCAGTACCTATATAATCTGACTTTTCGAGGAAGTCCAGCCGAAATATATAAAGCAAAAGTATATAATACATGTGTGGAGACTTTTAACTAAAATGAATTCGTTAGCAAGGAGGTGAATATTTTTTCTAAAATTTCCCGACAGATTTTTGTTTATCGCTTGGAGAGCACGAAAGGGAATCCTTATAATGTTCAAAGAACATCGTGCGTTCCTAGGGAGGATAGGGACAGGAGGTAGGTATTGGAATTTTTTTGAACTTTTTAGATTTAATGAATTCATTTCGTCTAGTTAACAGTCTCGCACTGTAAGTATAAATATCATTTTTTGCCACATTGTCACATTACATGCTTTGTCTTTCATCCTAATCAAGAATTTGCACAACATAATTTCTCTGGACCTCTCAGACGAGGCAGGTTATATATGATTTATTGTGTTTGATTGTATATGTTTAGCACATGAAAATCGTGTAACTCCTTTTCCATTATGTATATAAGACACATATATAGACAGACTGCTTGAGTTTACAATAAGCTCTTAGGCCGAACGTACCCGGCATGCTATCTAGTCCCCATTTAAAAACAGTGTGTCCTCGTTAACGATTTACCACCTCTGAAAAAAAATATTCCTGGATTGATCAATAAGTAGGTGATTACATTCATTAATTGGCTCTTAATAAAGCGGTCACATATTCAAGAAGTGAAGTTTCAAAACGTAGGGATAAGTATCCAAATTTTTTTTTTTCAAAATGGATCAAACTATAAAAATTTCACAGGAGTGGTAAAAGTTCTGAAAAAGAAAACACTGTTATAGTAAGCATATTTTAAGATAATTTGTGTATAATGCAAGAGTTTTTGGAGAGTCTATAGATTATCACTATTATCACTAACACAACTTCGTGGTCGCTTACTAGAAATACTCATTTCCCCCTCTTTATCTTATGGCTTTAAACTCACAAACCTCTCCAAAAATATTCCAGGGCAATATAATGATTTTTGGCTGGTGATTTTGGTAAAAAATCCAACAGTTGCAATTCCAGATATCCTGATTTTTTTCTGCGCGAAGAATTTTCCCAAAAAAATTGTTAAGATAATGAAAATTTCAAGAACTATGCAAAATTTTGTCAAAAATTGACAGTAGGACACATTTTGACATAGGCATTCATCAATATTTACACTTTGTACAATAGTTACGGAAGCTCCAGAACATATAAAGTTATTTTTTCTGTGACGGGAAAAAAGTTTGGCATTTCATCTCTGTTGGCAGGTTATAAAATGTCACTTTTCATAAATTACTTTTTTCCCGTGGGAAAAAAGTGAGTACTTTTTCCCGGATATATATCACATATATATACACTGTTGATGGCTTTTGTTGTGCTATAGTTCCGAAAAATGAGTCAATAATACCGTCTCCGAGAAAGAACTGCAAGTATCCTCTTATCTTCCATTCGACTTCGCGGTTACGAATATTACTAAACAACCACTAAATTCGCAATTTTTTGAAATCCAATCACAGAATTAGACTGACAGAAGTGACATCAAATATTTGATTACTTCAAAAGAATGATAAAGATGCCTATAGAACGCAGGTGTCCCTACTGTTAAAAACTTAAAATTTCACGTCGATAATTTTCAGATTTCAAAATAATGTAACATTTTCTCAATATTGATTCGTGCTTTCTTCTGTCACAGAAAAAAATAGTGTATTATACACGGAAAAAATATTAGATTTTAGCTCACGGTTTTTTTCTCCCTCCGCTAACTATTATTATACAAGGGAAAAAAGTTGTAGATTTTAGCTCCAGGTTGTGTTGTCAGACAAAAAACCGTGAGCTAGAATCTAATATTTTTCCCATGTGTAATACACTATTTTTTTCTGTGACAGAAGAAAGTACGAATCAATATTGAGGAGATATTACATTATTTTGAAATCTGAGAATTATCGACGTGAAATTTCAAGTTTTTAACAGTAGGGACACCAGCGTTGTAGGCATCTTCATCATTCTTTCGAAGTAATCAAATATCTGACGTCACTTCTGTCAGTCTAATTCTGTGATTTGATTTCAAAAAATTGCGAATTCCGTGGTTGTTTAGTAATATACGTAACCGGGAAGTCGAATGGAAGATATACTTTATTTTATGATAAGAATGATGAAAAAAATTGTTTGACTTGCTCTGGGGTTGGTGAATAGCATGTCAAAATTTGTCCCCCTGTATATATTATAATAATATCGTATTTTTGCATTTTTCCTGAAAATTATTGTTTCAGATGTTGTTGGTCAAAGGGATCGCTTTCAATGAATGTACAGGGTGATTCACCATAAATGTCCACTCCTCTAGCTCAGTTATTTTTGAACCGATTCTCAAATTTGAAGAATCATTTGATTTGTTGCGATTCGTTTTTCGCTACATCAGAAAATACAGGGTCCTCGGAAAAAACGCGATCTACCCTGTAGATAGTTGATTCTTTTAAATGGAACACCCTTCAACTTTAGGATTTCTTCGTGTCGAAACTATTTATTATTGGTCAAAACGGATACCATGTTCCTATCTTAACTTTTGATCAACTATCTATATACTGACAGTTAATAATTGGAACAGACACCCTGATGTATTATTGGTCCAATTAAATGTTCGTAGATAGTTGATCAGTCGTGTTTACCAAAAATGAATAGTTTAGACACTAAAGAATCCTAAAGTTGAAGAATATCGAACCCTTTTAAACAACCTATATCTCTGTAATCATATTCCCGCTAGACCCCAAGTATGATATATTGATGAAATCAGCTCTTCAAGGAGAATCTTAAGATGAAATGAAATCAACTATAGTACCCTCGGTAGATCGTTCGTTCAGAGCACCCTGTTTTCTGATGGAGCGGAAAAAATGTTTATCAAAAATCATTTCAAATGATTCCTCAAATTTTGGGATCGGTTCAAGAGTAACTGAGCTAGAGGAGGGTATTTATTTTATGGTGATTATTGGTGAACCACCTGTACGTGCATCATATACTAAACCTCTGGTGCGCTCACTCTTCATTTGTTTCGACAGACTGGTTCTTGATATAAACCATAGAATTTCAGATAATGACGCGGGGTTCACATATTGAATGTTAGATGGCGTGATTCCTAGAACCTTGATGTGGCTAAATCGCAAAATGTATTCCCTATCTTTATTGGTCACAATTCGGTCACAATTGTCACATGGAAGCCTATAATATTGGTACGGCACCAGATTAAACTTCAGTCACACCATTTTATGTTTATGAAGTAGGCGAAAATCAAGGAATTGTAACACAGGAATTAAAGGATTGAAGTGCTTACACCAGAGGTTTGTTTCATCAATATCATTATGTTCTTGTATTTCCTGCTATTTTCTGAATTTTTGGACGTTTTGAGGTGTTGGAAATACTTTCCTAGGAAATATATACTACAAAATGAAACTGACCAAACATCACATACCTTCTTCAAGTCCTTAGAATCTTGTGCTTCTTTATATATACCATGTGTTATTCCATTGTACTCCAACTACATATTTCTATACGGGGTGAGAAATATTCAACCTGTCGTTTCACTAAGCATTCAGTAATATGTAATTATATAGATAGTTGAGGCAATGAAAGTATTTTCCAAGTGACGTTGACAGGATTTCTTCAATAAATGAACAGAAACACATATATATGCTAAATAAATACTTATAACTTTGACAAATTCAATTAATATTCCAAGTATATAATTGATTACATATAATGAACCCACAAATAATAAAAATTCCGAATCGCTTCCCAAAAATATAGGTTCTCAATTACCCATTATTGCTCTACCTCTCAATATTAGGTAGGTATAGGGACTTACCTAATTTCAATTCATTTAAAGTAATGATTTTTTCCCTGGATAATACACAGTTGTATACATTATCTCATCGCATTGAGAATTTCCTTTCAAAGTAGTGCATTTGATTTAAACACTATTTCCAGAACATACTGATAAGACCTTGCTTATGAATGTGTATATATAAAATGTTATAGTCAACCAAATGAAATTGAAATATTGTGCTTGAAAACGATATAAAACACCTCGTTAGATATTATTCGTCATGGTTACAGATGTTGAATCATTGCTGATGGTTCGTAAAAAATCACACTTCAACCATTTAATGTATGCTTCAACTTATCGAATTTCTACTGTTTGGATCTTCAAGATGTTCGTCCAATATACTATCTCAGAAAACATTCCTGTATATTAAATCTTTGATAGTAAAATGATTGTTGTTTTTGTTTGATTTATCATGATGTACTTTTATTGGATTGAATGATTGCTGTCTGCACATATCAAAATCACATGAAATTGGAATATTTTTTAGTACTATCATCACAACTCGAAATTCTCTGTAGATTGCTGTTTATAGAACAATCACCTATTTATGAAGCTATTTATTTTTAGTTTTAAAATGTGTATGGAGATTTAATTTACATCTGACACTTATATGTACAAGTACCTACAATATTGTAAGTTACCATACAATAAAATCAGTGGAAATAAAGTATTTGTAACTAGAAAGTTATGGTTTTTATCTACAATTATTAGGACATTCATATGCATTATATACACACTGGCACAATTAGGGGAACGGGCATAATTTACACTAAGTTTGACATCAATTTTCTTTCGAACCGATCGCTCGATTCAAATTTTTTTCTTCACGAATTGTAGCTGCATTCTTCTCGAATACATCTGAGGAATAATTACATTCAAACGATCAGTCTTTCTATCATATACAGGGGTGTAACGAAGTACGAATTTTTTGGTATTTTTTGAGACATCCTGTGGACTGAACCACTGATAATTGAAACGATTTCTCAACACCAAATTGGAGCCTAATCTATTCCGAATATTTTCGTTTTTTATTCATCTTGATATCTCAATTATACAAGAAAATACAGAGTTTCAAAGGAAAGGTCTTGATATCTCGAGTATCCAAGAAAATACAGAGTTTCAAAGGAAAGGTGGATATTGGTATCAATGGTATCAATATTATCACCTCGAAACTCAAATTGGATCTGAAAATGTGTCGTTTCTTAAGTTGTTTCTGAGATAATTTTCCCTTCATGTTGAATATTGCTATCATTTTCACTTATTAGTCTATTGTGAGAAGATTTCATAGAAATATACAAATATGATAAAAAAGAAATGTAATATTTTCAAAGCCCTCATTCAATAACAATAACATTAACTTAACGAACAATACGGATTCAAAACACCAACAATAATTTCAATAACGTGTGTGACCTCCACGCGATCTTATTACAGCAGTCATCCATCTGCTCATGCTCTCGATGACATTATCGATCATTTCTTGAGGAAGATTATCCCAAATCTCAACCAGAGCTGCTGCTACTTGCTCGGGATTTTGTACAGCGGGAATTCTGGACCTCAATCGTCTACCCACCATGTCCCATACATGTTCGATTGGATTAAGGTCTGGCGAACATGCAGGCCAATCCATTGCTCTTATTCCGACTTTATTTAAAAAGTTGGAGACTGAACGAGCCACGTGAGGGCGGGCATTATCGTGCATTACCTCTGCCATAGGAGACAGAAGCAGTAAAATTAAATTGTTCATTTTGTTCACCTCGGCGGCGATTTAGTCTTTCCCTGCCATATATCGAATTGATGCAGAAGCGGCTCTCATATGTTGAAAGAACGTTGGCCCACTGGTCCTTTTCAATTAATGCTACAGCCCTCGCCACATCAGTAGGAGTCAAATCTCTCATGTTGAATTTTCATTAATCAAATTTATAAAATGTGAATCGCTTGACTCTGACAATAATTAATGACATAAACAAAATAGCCAACGTTGATTAACAAAAATAGCATTTTACCAAAAGAACATTGGAGCAACTTTCATCACCCCTGCATATTCATGAGAGTATTATTCGTATATGTTTCTTTAAACAGTAAACCGATAGGTAAAACTGTGAACAATTCTCATCTTGAAGTAAAAATCCTCACAGAAACAAGTTGAAAAACGATACGTTCTTATCCCCAGTTCGAGTTTCGAGGTGGTAAAATTAATACCAATATCCACCTCTTCTTTGAAACTCTGTATTTTCTTGGATAATTGGTATATCAAGATGAATAAAAAACGAAAATATTCGGAATAGATTGGGCTACAATTTGGTGTTGAGAAATCGTTTCAATTATCTGTGGTTTACTCCACAGGATGTCTTAAAGAATACCGAAAAATCCGTACTTTCTTTACACCCCTGTATATGATATGAAGACGAATCGTTTGAAGGTGGTTATTTCTCAGATGTATTCGTATAGAATGAAGCTACAATTCGTGAAAAACAAATTTAAATCGAGTGATCGGTTCGAGAGAAAGTTGATGTCAAACTTAGTGTAAATTTTGCCCGTTCCCCTAATTGTGCCAGTGTGTGTATATGAGTCATTTTTATGCGATTGAGTTATTTCAATCATGTGACACCCGCCCATCGTCATATCGAATTCTGTTAGTCGAGTATACTCATTCTGCTAAAGAGTAGGTACCTATACCTATACTTAGTCCTCACAGTTTCAATCGCGTTTGTACCAATACATAGAGAGATGATAATTTAATTTTACTGTTTTTCATTCTCAACTGCAAGTGATCTAAACAAAGAAAGAATGAAAATAATTTGCAGAAAGCAAGAATTCGTTTTGCCCATGTGGAAATATAATATGGTGTGCTACATTCAGTCTAGGAATCTTGAATTCGTCTTCTCTGCGCATAACGTCATTGCGAGTCAAAAATGATCACGGCGACTTAGGCGAATATTGATAAAGGCGACCTCAGACTACGAGCAATTAGCAAACAATTTTGGTCAGCCTTATAATAAGAAAGTATACATGTCTGCCGATAAATTCATTTAATAAAAAGGGGCCGCCACGGGATTCGAACCATGGTCCTCCGCTATCACTTGGTTACAAACCACTTCAAATTCTTTAATTTTCATCCCTCTTTACACATTTGAACAGTTTCTACCGGGACAAATACATTATATATAAAATAGTATTTGATAAAAATAGTTCTCCGCGCAGTGTGGAGTTGGCTGGTGTTAGCCAGAGCGGTGTGTGCGTGATTGAAGTCCTGTCAAACTAGTCTCATCTCCTGCTGCGGGCAATGCGCTCTCTGACCATATGGACAAGCAACGTCCAGAATTGGTCGTCTGGCCAACCTTAGCGAGACTCTTGCCATGCTAAGGGACCGTATGGCTGTCTGGAATTTCAAGGACCTCGCTTAGGCGATGTCATGAAACTTCCACAGCTTTTTTGTTTTTGGTGACGAGAATCACCCTAATCTCTTAGGGGTTCCCCAAAAACGTCGGTTGATTCGTATATCTATCCGTGTTTCTTATAGATTCCATGCCCAGCTCTAATGGCAGTAATATTCCTAGTAAGGTTACTCGGTTACAAACCGAACTTCCAACTGAGCTACTACACCTTTATTGAAATGATATGTGTTTACGGAATTTATTTGCGGTTATATAACTTTCGAATAGGAATATTTTAGCAATAATTATCATCATAACAGATATCTACCAACGATAAACAAGGGAGAAAAAATTTCTGTCGCACCTATTTTATGAGTCAGACGACTTGCCTATTTTTTTTATGGCCGAATTTGATGACTTCCTTGATAATACTTGAATGTGAAACGGTAGAATAGCGCAGTGGTTGAGCTCTCGACTAGGAATAGAGCATTGTCAGTGACGTCATATGACGTAAAATTGTCGGCCATTGAACAGCTGATGGGGGGACAAGCATACACATTTTCCATAAGGGTACATGTAACTTTCTTGCACATTTACCACTAAAATACAATACCTGGAGCATTTATTTATTGACATGTTTGTTAATTCATTCATCATGAATCCTGTGAGAGAAGCGAATGAGTCCAAAGAAGAGTTCAAATTGGTTTATTTGTCAATTTTAAATTACTGGATTTACTTGAGTTCAGCTCGAATATACCTAATATACCTCGTAATATACCTCAATAGATACTCATTTTGGAAGAAAATGTACACATTCTTCTCGTATAATATCTAGAAGTTGAACAAAATCACCAATGGGCCAGAAATAATAAAATCAAAATTCACACACAGCTTTGTTTGTCCCCCGATCAGCTGATAAAAACGACGAGTGCGCCATATTGTGACGTCAGCTGACATTGCTCTATTAGAACGCCGAAATGTTGCTATACTCATTACTTCAGAAAAAGCGCCATCTACTATCTTTTTATTTGAAATGTTTGTCTAGAGTTCAATTTAGATACCAAATTCCTTCAGCTTGATCTTGTTGACATATGATGTTTAGGTATGCACAGATTCCATTTCGTGCGCTCCGAGCGATAAAAAAGTATGTATATGTACTTTCTCTAGGACCCTAAAGAACCTTGATGGATAGTGAATCAGATGAATCCGAGGATGGAACTTAGTATAACAATTTGTTCAAAATCCAAAGAAATTAAATTTCAATATTCCAAAATATTTTTATCAGTTTTCAATAAACAATTGGAACAATAGTTATGTTAGAGTTTTCTATCAACTATATCATTGATATATCAAACAATTAAACTTGAAAATGATAACATTCAATTATACCTAATTCCCTTATTCATTTCATTTGCTAACTAATTTTTTCTTTCTTCGATTTTTTTTCTTGTTATTCCTGCCATTTTGTGAATGATGAACAAATAATCTATCAGCTTCATTAGAATGTGTCTTCTGTCCAGATGAATTTAATTCAGACTTAGGTTGCTTACAGGAGAGTTTTGGTTGGTTAGACTTCTGAGTTTGTTTTTCTTTCTTAATTACTTCTCTTGGTTCCATATTATTATTACATGAAGAATTTGATAATTCAAGTTTGATTTTTTTGATACATTCATTTTCAGATGCAGGTTCACTTAATTTCCTTTTGTTTTTCACTTTAGTTGCATTGCTTAGTTTCAGTTCACTTTCATTATCATTGTGCTTTTGTTTTGCCTTTTTGGCTTTCTTAGGATTTCCATTTTCAGAATGCTTCTTCTTGATATTTTTTTGTTTCTTGTTCTGTAGTTTATTCTTAGGTTTTCTCAAGCTTTGTTTTCCTTTGATGTTGACAAGTTTTGAAGCTACTTTCTCTTTCTTTTTCTTTTTGACTGGATCTTTAACAAGACCATCAATTGATTGGTCAACAATTTCAATGATACTATCATTACATATACTTTCATTTTTATCAATCACTTCTAAGTCTTCAATTATGTTTTTCTGTTTCATTTTCTGCTGTTCATTCTTAGGTTTTCCCAAGCTTTGTTTGCTTTTAATTTTGTTAAGTTTTGAAGGTACTTTCTTCTTCTTTTTGCCTTCATTTTCAACAAGACCATCAATTGATTGGTCAACAATTTCAATGATCCTATCATTACATATACTTCCATTTATATCAATCACTTCTAAGTCTTCATCTGTGTTATTTTGTTTGTTAGTCTTTTGGCTTTTTTTAGTGATTTTTTTCTTTTTGATCACAGGACTTCTCACAATTTCTATCACACTTTCATCATTCATCTCATCAACCTCATTATCATCATCAATGGCAATCACTCCCAGATCCTCAGCTGAATTATAGCATTTTGAATCATTTATTATTTTACTAGGCTTAGTAATCTTCTGTTTTTTCTTTTTCACTTTTTTCTTTTTCCCCTTAGTAATTTTGCCCATCATAGAAATAGTATCCTCACTATCAATCACTACCACATCATCTTCATCTGTATCATAAACTCTTGAATTTTTTGTTTCAATCTTTTTGCTGCTATCTTGAGTTTTCCTGTCCATGCTGGTACAGTCTAAGATTTCTATAACACTATCATCACAGATTTTTTTAGCTCCACCATCAATATCAGTATTTTCTTCATCCATAGAAATGGTATCATTGATATCTATCACTTCTCCTAAGTCCTCATCAGAATCAAAGATATTTCTGAGAGAATGACTCACCTGACTTTTTGTCTTATTTTTCTTCTTTGCAGTTTCAGTTTCTTCATCATCTGACTCATCATTCACCATCACATATTCATCACAGAATTCCACATCATCATCATCATCGTCATCAATCAAATCAAAGAACTGTATTATATATGGGATTTCTGTTGGAGTATCAATGATTTTAATTTCATCATCAATGTCCATCCAGTCAACATTCATCCATGCTTTGAGGTCATTAGGAAGCACATACTCTTTGGGTAACCAGTTATTTTTTGCATTCTGTAGTTTACTGGAGAATGGGAAGAGAGTGGAATAAAAGTCACAAATACAATTTGCATTGTATTTGGCTAGAATGTATACTCTTGAAATTAGAGAGAATGAGATGAATGCTACTTTCCAAAAATGACCAACCTTCATTCTGGCATCCAACAAAAATCCTGCAATTTTACATGTTTCCACAATTCTGTCCAAGAGTTTTACTAACCCCTGAAACCTTAGGAGTATGTAATCCAGTAAATTTTTAGTGGGCAGATAAGTTTCATGATCATATTGCTGTGGCATCAGGTCCATGAAGATCCTGACATATTTAGGGATTTGTATGCTGAAGAAGGTCTCCAAAGCCTTGTGAACTTTCTCTAATGCTTTGAAGTCTTTTGCTGAACGAAATTTTTGCTTCATACGATAAACTATACGTGAAAGCACCAGGTATTCTGCTTTCATGAATTCATTTTCCTCAAAATACTGCTTGATTGTCTCACAAGTTTTGAAAAGTTTTTTCAAATCTGAAAGGATATGCGTCAGTAATACAAATCTTATGATTTTTCATAGTTATATAATACTCTTACCTATGTTTTTTTCCTCTACTCTATAGGTGGTCACTGGCGGAATTGGCAAGTCTTTCACATTCCAAAGATTCATTTTTCAAGTACAACTTGGGAGTTTTCAAAGTTTGAATCTAAATCCACTCTAGTTTATAGGTTAAAGGTGTATTTGTCTTCTTCTTTTTTTTATATCTCGGTCTTGCCATTCCTGTACATACTTACTTCTGCTCTGAGTCTGAGCACTGAACTATTATAGTTCAGTGAGTCTGAGCCGATCTTACTGGAGTGGGTGTTTGTGAAGTTTTGTTTTCTGTAATACTAGATTAAGTACTATTTGCAGAGGGTTCCGTACCAAAGTAGTTTTCGATGAAATCTAGTACTCATAAGGTTTTGAGTGCAATGGGTTGGGTTCACATTGTTCTCCAAAAGGCTGATTCGAGCTTTGTTCCTTACTGGGCGATTCTGGCTTCGACAATGCTAGAGATGAAACGTGAAACGTGTGATATCATTAGTCCTCTGTTTGTTTGTGCTTGCTCTATATCTGCCGAAATTGATTTTTTTATGACCCTCTCTGTTTACATCATGCTATGAACAGAGACAACTATAGAAAAAAAATCAACTTTTGCAAGTTCAGCAGTTCAACTCTGTGTAATCCACAGAAATGTATTCTTGCGCAGTGGTGTTCTGCTTCTGTACTTCCGGGTTCCGTGTTCTGTTACAGTGTCACCTAGTGTCAGTGTCACCCTGTCACCTGTGATCGAGGTTTTCAAACGTCAAAGTTCGAAAATGAGGAAATTTCAAAAATACTGAAAAAAATAGTGAATTACAAAGTATATCTCTTTGGTATCATAAGATAATGATTCCTACAATTAGCTGCTGTAAAAACTGTTTCAGATCCATAAATAGGAGTATAACTGCCAAACTCAATGTAGTTACATAATTTTGAGGTTAGAATTTTTTGTACAACTTCTGTTTCTTTTCTAGGTTCATCAAAGAAAATATGCTACAATGAGGCAAGAAACGGTGTTCATAGAAAATACCTTAGAAGAGCCTGTTATTGCAATTCGGCCACAAGACAATATAGATATTATTGGACCTCCTGACCCCCTTTCAAATTTGAGACCAATAATCAGAAGGTGTCCAACAAATGAAACTATCTTCCAACAATCATTGAGGGAAATGCAGGATGCTACACATACATGGAATCAGCAATTTTGGACAGATCATAATCAAAAGTTCATCAAGGTAATCTAATCTTGAATGTTTAACAAACATTCATTCATCAGATTTCACAACTCAGAATGTAGGTATTCTAATTCTGAATACACATTAAATTTTAGCAACGCCAAGAGTTTATCAACTCCCATCAAGTGGAAGGACAAGAGAAGAGACAACTCAGTGCTGATGAAATGAGTGAATTCTATAAAAGGTTTCTTGATGAAAATTGGCTTACCCATATTAGATATAATAATGAATGGTATAAGAAAAACCTGACAATGTTATTTTTAGCATTGAAAGTGAGTTTAGAAAGATATTTAGGAATGTTCATAGCTAAGATATAGTGTAAATATTTTATATAATAATGATAGTTTTAAGAATGTACATAGCAGATTGAAAAACAGAAGAACATGCACTGATTCAAAAACAGAATGAAGAATTATTTATAAATATGATGTACTCAAAAGTTCATTGAGTATTATTTTTTACCTATAAATTGATTTGGAAATAATTCACAGGATGTTTATTTTTGCATTTCACTCTTGAGATTTGTTGCAATCATTTTTTTTTCTGAGATTTTATTATTCTCAGTCCTTGAGAATTGCTGAAGAGATTTTAGAATAATATGAAGAGAGCATTATTATTTATTCATCATGAAAAAAATATAACATTTTCAATAGAACAAGATCAACTGAACCAAAGAAAAGGAAAGTAACTGCTGTCCTTTTCAAAAATCTTCCACTGCTCTCCTAAAATGTTCAAAAAACAGCCATGACACCTTGAATCTTGAAAGTTTTTGCAAAAGGGGATTAATATTGAGAGAATCAGCCCTCCTACAAAATAAAGTTTTGGCAGCAGTGTAAGGATTTTGTTTTACTGGGAGACTTTCTGAAAAAATAAAATTTCAATAAATCATTCAAACCTTAGAAACGTCCGTGTAGCAGAGCCCCTATGGATGTTATTTTTCATTTGTCTTCGTCATGATTCAACATTATTTTGTACAAAATAATATATCTAGGTAGGTACTTTATAGTGTTAACTTACAACTGTGGTAGCTTGAGAGCATCCATCGCAAAACCATTTGATGTTGTCTTTGTTGGTTTCAAGAAACTGCCATTCTGAAGCGTTGTAACTGCTGCAGGTCTGATGGATAACTTTATTGCATTGTCCGTTACATTTCAATATTTTCGCTTGGGCAGCATCCCCTATGTTCTCGTCGCATTTAACACAAAAATTTCTGATTTCGTCTGCCATTTTTTGTGATTTTGTTGGTTGTCAAAATGTGTTTAAAATGTTTCCTATTAAACAAACGGTGGTTGCTCGGATACATACATGAGATAACTTGATTCGAAATAGAATTCGGAACATTTACTCTTCCGCCATCCATCATCGATTTCCACAAAATAGTAGGGGCAAAGAGGCTAAATAGGGATTTACTCGAGCGTCGCGTGGGGACGTATCAGATATTTTCGAATGAATAAAATTTGTTGTCAAACTTTCGTTTTCACTTATAATATATCGTTTTTTGAATAATTCTGTGAAAGTGTGAGGAGAATTTTGAATATTTTGTTTTTGATGATCGTTTGTGTGCTTTGAAAATTCCCTGTCACAGTTTACAAAAACCATTTACATGATGAACTTTTTGATAAAAACTATAATAAACTATCGGAATGTTCCAAAAACGGTCCCGGATTTTCCCGATTCTGAAATAGGTCAGTCGATTATTAGGGTTTAGTATCGAGGAATATTCCATTAAAAAATCAGACGAATCGAGGGAGCTGTTGAAAAGTTATGACCAAAAGATATTTTGTGCCCAATCTCATAATTCACCCTATATATTGGTAAAGAAGAGGAGAAGACACTGTCTGTGGATCATTATAGGTATTTCCCTCAAGGGTCTCTATTCGTGGAAGGAGTATGTACAGTTCCTCATGCTGACTCACCCTGTATAATCCGATATTACTCCTGAGATCCGATAAAGCCCCGGTTGACGGTACTCACAAGTTTGTGAGCCCCTATAATAGTGAATTCATGTCAATTCCATGTTTTCAGAAGTATAGGTGTATTGAAACTTTCGATCATTTTCAGTTTGATGGAATAAGAACCATAAGTATTCAATATTTAGACCCAACTGTGATTTTATTAAATCGTAATCAATTCATAACATCAATAAAAGATATAGCACGATATTTTGAAAATATTTTTGGGACCAGTTTGAACCTGATGAATAAAGTAAAATCTCATGGCCATCAATAAATTGCTTGAAAGAAGTGAAAGGACATTGGGAAATCATCTTCGTCTTTCCTTCTAAACATTTCATAGGTAGAGTAAAAATGATAAATATTAAATAAAATGTAATATCAACTGTCCTTGCTTGGCTCTTCAGTTCTTGTCAGCATCTCGAAAAGCTGGACCAGATCATTTTTCTGACAAGTTGGTTTACACTTGGAACAGTTAGAACAAGAAGAGTAAACTGAAGTGGTCGTGGCAGGATTGGATAGGTCGAAACTCCTGCTCCTTTTGTATATTTCATCTAGAGGATAATCTTTCTCTCTATCGGCAGTTATTGAATTGATGGAAGACATCTGAAAAAAAGCTCACGTTTTTATTGAAGAAGATTTTAGTTTTCCTGATTAGGAAAAGGTAAAATAAGGTTTGTTTCTTCTTTCTCAATTGAATCTCCATCTGGAGGTCTTTCACAGTGGCTACAATATGTGTTATACAGGGTATCCATTTTTCGAGCTCCACCATGGAGATCTCAGTTATTATTAAAACAATGTGGATGGCACTAAGACAAATGAATGCAGTCAATAAAAATGGAAATGATGTATTGCCACAAAACCTAGCTAATGTTGACGTCATTAATCAACACTTTACGACATTACCTAAAGTAACAAAAACTAATCTTCAGACAGAACGACTAGAAAAATACAAGCATGACAGATACCATGTGAATGACAATTCCATACTGTGGACAAAGAATTGGTACTAATATGTCTTCACTCAATCAAAAGTAACGCAATAGGATTCGACTCTATATCCTTGAAAATGTTGAACCTGATCTCTAACTTGCTAATTGATCATATCACTTATTTATTGAATTACTGCATCACACACTCTACGCTTCCTATAGCTTGGAAAATGTCTCTTGTAATCCCTCTTGCAAAAATACGAAACTCGAAAATTTCAATGATCTCAGACCCATCAGTCTTCTTTCAGTACTATCAAAGGATTTTGAGTAAAGTCTATACAAACAGATGAATGAATTCCTTATGATCCACAATATTATACCACCAATACAATCCGGTTTTAGAGACGGTTACAGTACCACAACAGCACTCACAATGATAGTCGATGACATTTTCCGGGCAGTGGATGAGGGAAAAGTCACGTGTTTAGTTTTACTCGACAAACTGGGGTATTTGGGCTTTGATGAAGATTCTGTTCGGCTGATGGAGCGTTAGTTGAAAGGAAGGAGTCAGAAAGTCGTTTATGACCTTAGACTTCAGAACCCCTAACACTGAAATCTGGTGTACCGCAAGGGTCCATCTTAGGACCCCTGTTATTTTCTATTTATATTTCGGACTTCCACTCATATGTTTCGCATTGTAACATACACCATTACGCAGACGACACACAACTATATCTATCATTCGATGTAGAACAACCTGATAGTACTAATGTTGTGAACTCAGATTTAGAATCCTTGGTGAATATCTCTGCAGCGCATAACCTTATGTTGAACGCAAAGAAGTCAAGTGTTTTTTTTTTTTTGGACCAAAGCATAAACGTGAGCTTGCCAGTACTTCCTCAAATATCGTCATGGGCGGTAACACAATTCCCATTAGGAACGAGGTAAAAAACTTGGGGTTATGGGTAGACACAGAATTGAGATTTACAAAACATGTCAATCAACTTTGTCGTGGTTCTTACAATATTTTAAAACAGCTTTACCCGAATCGACATGTCATGAATTCTAGTTTGAAACTTCAAGTTTGTGAGTCTATCTTTCAAAAATTGCTTATTGTGATTGTGTATATGGACCAGCTGTCTTGAAAACCGACAGTGACCGCCTGCAGAAAATTCAAAACTCCTGCTTTAGATTTTTCCATGGAATACAAAAGTAAGAACACATTAGCCATAAATTCCTAGAAGCGGGTAAGCTCAGATTATTGGATGTTAGAAAATCACATTTGATCACTCTTGCTCATAAAATATTAAAGATGAATAATAATTCAGGGGAGAGAGATCAGGTGACCGCGCTGGCCAACGTATGTCTCCGTTGTTGGAAATTACCTTGTCAGGGAACATATATGACAGACACTCGGCAACCCTTCTTGCATTATGTGGATAAGCTCAAGATTTCAACAGTATTACTGTTCGTATATTCAATTGGACTGTCAAAATTCAGTTTGTTAACAAAACTGTTGGCGTTCCTTCCAAAGCACTCTTCGCAAAAAATGGCTTTTTCCCAATTTTGATCAACAGCAATGATTCGATTATATTGTATTCAGAAGAAAAAACTCCAAAAATGCAGAAATTCAATATGGCGCCCATAAAAAAAAACAATGTTGTGTGTTAACTTTGGCATCAAGAATGCCATGGAAAATACAACGACAGATTCAGATTCCTTGTAAAAAAGTGCCTCAAGAATGTTCTAGTCAGAAACGTCTAGGTCTTTTGGGTTTCGCTTAAAAAAATAAACACAAAAATGAAAAATTTTCGTTTTCTTCAAATAATTCAAAAACTGAAAATGACACATCGAACTTCCTTGATGATAAATGTTCAGCATAAAAATGCGCAACTTTGCCCTAATTTAACCGATCTCGTATCACTTATAATAACTGAGACTCCTATGGTATAGCTCGAAAAAAAGGCACCCTGTATACAGCTAGATTGTCTCCGGAATCGAAACTATAAAATATCTATAATAAACCCTCTTGCAACTGTAAAATAGTGTAGGTAATTATAGCTACACTATTTTATCGAATTAGCAGAAGATAGGTAGAAAAAAGTGTTGTTTCACGATGTCAGTTCAGAGGCTTCCGTTCATTATATTCACCTTGAGCTGTACCATCTTCAGTTGTTCTTCTTTATCGTGCAGCATTCTCGTCAGCATCACTTGCACCTTCTTCTGTGCTTCAACCTGCCTTTGAAAATCGGCAACAGTGTCCAGCAATTTCTGAGTCGCGAATTTGGCAGCGTTGACAGCTTTCTCCTTCTCGTCGGCCAGCAAGGCTTTCTGTTTTTCCCATTCTCTTTTTTGCTCTGCCACTTGTTTCTGGATGTCCTGAATCGCCTGCTGTTGATCCTCATCGCATTCTCTTTCCTCGCAGTAGTTTTGCAGAAGTATTTCCAGATCACTCATTTCTTTGCTGAGAGCGGATTTCTGATATTCGAGTTTCTGAAATGGAAAGACATGCCATAATGCAGCTTCAATACGAAAACTCTCACTTGCAAAATGTGACCGATAAAATAACCGTTGAATATGATGCACGTTAGTATCATTAAAAAAAAGGACAAGACCACAAAGGGTTTATATCACAAAAATATTCTATTTCATAATTCGATAGAACTCACCTAAACTAGCTCACCACCGCTAAACGTTTCTTGCTGTGAGCTCCCTACGTTTTATTAAAAATTATTGAAATCCCCGATATTTCGGACCTCCGAAAACGAGACGATGATGTGACGTCAAAACAATAATACTGAAACAAGACTATTCCAGACAGAGATGAATGATACATGATTTCTGACAGAGTGAATTAGCGCGAGATCACAGAGTTGAAAGAATTAATATATCAGTTGCCTCAGTCTCCGTCGGGCGTTTGGTATTTTCTTTTAACCATGGCGAGATGAGGTTTCTACGTCATAGGAGGGTCCGTTTTCAGAAGGTACTATTATTTATGTCCAAAAATAAAACATTCCAGTTAATTTTTCGATCGAATTATGTCGTCAATCATTATTTATGTATAAAAGGATCATTATGAAAATGGTTTGAGTTAAAATTTCTACTAAGGTGCACAGTACGCCCATTCTGTTGACAGACCTGTGTGAGAATTCGTATAATGAAACTTAATGCATAGTACTACAACTGCAGGTATGACAATTATTCTACCACTTTTTGAAATGGTAGAAGCATTGATGGTTTCTCAATGACTGAGATTTATTAAAAACTGGAAACTCATTTTTTTCATGTTCTGTAATGTTCAGAGAACATCATGAGAACCAAGGGAAATGAGGTAGGAATTGGTGTTCTTCTTACATTTCTGGAGGTTATAAGCCCCGGGGAACACCTCCCTTGGCAATGTATTCCAGAGCCTCGCTGATCGTTGGATGAACGAGTCTTTGGAAAGAGAAGTTTTGCAGGTTTCCAAAGTGACCACGAAGGGGTGCGAAGCCTCAACTCGACAGGTTAATCTTGCAGGGACTGCCATGGGAGGAACAATTGTTGATATTTCATGAAAATATCTATAAAATAGAGCCAGATCGCCGACTTTCCTACGGTGTTCCAGAGAAGTGAGTGAGTTTGTGAGCGAGGCATCACCCACGAGACGAATTGCCCTTTTTTGGACAGAATTCAACAGTTTCAGGGTATGCTTGTGTGCTGCACTCCAAATATGGGAACAGTATTCCAGGACAGGTCGGATCTGTGCCTTACAGATCATAAGCAGCTGACCGAAAGTGAAATAGCTCCTGGCCCGAAACAGGAAACCAAGTTTTTGGGATGTGCTTTTAGCAATTGATCCCACGTGATTTTCCCAAGGAAGGTTTTTGCTGATAGGAATACCAAGCATCGAAATGGATGTCTTCAAAGGTATGGTTACTCCTGACATGCTTATGATGGGCACAGTGCTATCGGCTTATCTAGAAAAAAGGCATGCTTTTGTTCTGTTTGCATTGAAATCTACCAAGTTATTGAATCCTCATTCGAGAATTGTTGCCAGGTCCATATTTATGTTGTCAACATTTCTTCCTCGTTCGTTTTTGATTTGCCTGGCTGGTATTGGAGCCCTGGAAGAGAAGGCGGTATGGAAGGTACCCAGCAAACATGTATCGCGCGGGCCTTTAGACGCCCTCCAAAAACTGCCGACAGTCAACATCAGCGGGCCACAATCATGATACATCGTCGGCCCGGCTAGCCCGTGTCGCACCGGCCGCTAGTAGGCCGCCCGACTATCTACCGACACTATTCGGTTAGAAATAAAAAAAAGATATAGTCGGGAGTCGGACTCGAACTTGCGATCGAACGGATATCCAATCAACTGTCAGACGCTTATACCACTAGGCTACTGCGAAACTTGAAAGATACTATTACGAATCCATCAGTCAACAGAATTGAAATAGTACAATACTTCAATTATATTTGATATTTGATCATATACGATATACCTATCATAACTTGTTGATTCGACGACGTAGAATAGGTTTAGTCTGATAATGTTCTAGCCACATTACTTTTCCAGTGTTTGATCTATTACTGTGAATCAAATATTTTTCGAATATAGGTAAAGAGCTGAACTTCGCATTGGAGCATCATTGTTATAATATAGGGTAATGAACAAATATTTAGCTCAAAATCATTACCACAAAAATGGATTGGTAGACAATAACGAGTTTAATTATTGTTATATAACATATATCATTATTCTTGATGTCGGACGATAGTTTGCTGGGATCAATCATGAAAATGCATAAAAGTATTCTGGAGATATATTGTTATTGTGATATTACACTATGAGATTATTTATATAATGGAGTTTGTCTCCAGCGTCGAATCGACAGCGGATCGATTGTGACTTATCTATAACGGTCAATTACGGGATGGAAAAAAAATTTAATAAAAAACTCACCAACTTTTTCTAAATAATATTAATATTATCACGCCGTTTAACAAATACCTGAAGACAAGTGACAGACAACTGACGCGATCTACGGACACAGAACTAAAACACGAAAATAAATTAGCAGTACTACCAATGCTCAAAAACCCAGTGATGCCAACATTGCGTTTGGTTCAGTTACCACTGACCTGTAAACAACATACATACTGCGTCAAAGCGACATCGGCACGATTGTCGGGAATTTTAAACGGGCAATTTCTGGCTGAATAACAAACATCCATTATAAACATGCGTACGTTCAGCCATGGCGGCAAAACCGATGTCGTTTCAACATTTTAACGACATAGGTGTGCCGCTGCCGACAACTAACCGCAGTTACCAGCAATCGGCCGCCTATTTACCGCTCAATCATGTTTGCTGGGTACTATCATCCGCGAAGCTGGGCACAATAGATTCACAAGTGTAATTGATGTCTCTGTGCTTTATTCACATGTCATACCATTCAAAATCTTACTGAACTGGAAAAATGGTAGAATGGTACTGAGAGAAAGAGAAAGGTCATTCAAATAAAGATCTAACGTCACTGATGGTCACTCGAGTGGACTAAACAACAACACCAGCTAAAAATCAGTGAGCTTTTTCAAAGAAGACGTCTTTAGAAACTTAGATATTTCAATCTAGAACCTCATCATATCTTTTGTCCTCAAATAAATTTTTATGAACTTGGGAAATAGAGGTGGAGAACTTGTATAAGCGCATGGGAAATTCTCCATCTAAGAACCCTTTCAATCATGAACAATTCCATTTTCAGTAAATGAACTTCACCTTCAGTTTTTGCATTAGATGTTCCTTTTCGTGCATCTCTCTTTCCAGCTCTCGATGCTTCATCATCAAATCATCGTTGATCTTCATTATTTCTTCCTCAGCAACGTTACTCTCTTGCTTTGCGATGCTCAGCTCTCTCAATTTTTCTTTCATCTGAACTTGCAAACCCGTGATCGTCTGAGATTGATCCTCGATTATTTTTTCTTTCACTAGTTTATTGTCTTTCTCGATTTCCAAGGCAATCCTACAATTTCATCATACAAATCAGATGTTTTCAGTAAATTATATTAAATACCTATTTAGGTGCTCATTTGCGATTATACTATCTTCAGGTGTGTAAGAAGTGTTTTTATGATCACGATCGATGTGACTCATAGATTCCTCATACACGATATCTTTGATCATCGACTCGAAGAAAAAAATGTTCGCAAACAAGGAATTTCGATGAGATGATCTTCGTTGTGAAATCATAGGTGTATTCGTCATCAGATTTTTTCTATGTTGGTTACTTGAATACTTCAGCCTTGGGGCAAAACAAAAAACATCTGTGATGACTCTTTATATATCAATATCGAAGAGTTTGAAGAATATATTTATACAGAGTTAATCAAATGTATGGAACCATCCATATATCTCAGTAACTAGTCGTCAGATCTTTCTGAATTTTTATTATTGGTGAATTGGAAATGTGGCGGTTCGAAAAATTATATCGCCAATGTTGCTACGTTATCAGTTTTTCCGGAATTATTATCAACTTCCTTATTTTGAATATAATACCCTATATATTTTTGTATTACTTAATAGGAATTTTTTTATCGAGTTCCCTGATATACTATTCGATAGTTTTATTTACAATATTTACAATGATATCTGAAAAAACGGTCAGAGTACCCCTCAATAATAACTAAAATATAACAGGAACAAGAAATTATACTATACTCATTTGAGTAGATGTTCAGATTGTTGTCCGTTGACCTTCTCACAATGAGCTAGAGCTAGACGATTATACACTGCATCTACACTGTTTTTTTTTCTTTATGTTCTGGTTCCCACGAAAATGGATATCCTGTAATGTTCAGAGAACATCCTGAGAACCAAGGGAAATAAGGTAGGAATTGGTGTTCTTCTTAAATTTCTGGAGGTCATATGCCTCGGGGAACACCTCCCTTGGCAATGTGTTCCAGAGCCTCGCTGTTCGTTGTTTTGCCACTAACCAAATCGATTTTTTAAACGCCTCGACACGTGTTTGGCTAACTATGTTGGCGAAACTCGTGTCGAGGTGTTCGAAAAATCATCAACTGATTCATTTTTTATGTTTCATAAAAAAAATTGCTTTCTTTTTCGGAATTCCAAAATCCTTTCTCAATATTCCATTCTTACCTCAGTTCCTCTAGTTCCTTTGATAAGGAAAGGCAGGCATTTTTCGAACAAGGGCCATCCAAGGCTTTTTTCAGATCGTATATTTCCTCCTCAAGTTGCTCACTCTTTGTCCTCAACATCTCAATTTCACTTTCGGCCATCTTCATTTTTTCATCCTAGATATGAAATTGTAGTTTTATTCATTTCATGAAATTTATTTGTTTAATTCGAGAAATATAACGAAGTACATGTTTCTAAAGACCAAGATCATATTCCGAGGTGCCAACCGAAGGATATAAGGTCCCGTGGTAATGATATTCTTTACTATACCAAGGTGTATATACAATTTTATTCACTACTAGTAATAAATTTGTTGTTGTTGTTGTTCTTTATTACCCCAAGAAACATATTCGTTTATAATAGGGATACATAAACATATGATATCTATATATATATAAAACAATGAAAAAAACTAATCAACAAGTTATGTCAATATAACATAATAATTAAAATAAAACCATTCCAAGTATTCAAATTAGAATAAATTGCTCCGTTTATTGTGTCATGAGTATATATTTTTTCATATTGACTTTGAATCTTGTTTCATCATCAATATGTTTCAAATCATAAGGTAATGAATTATATAAAATGATTCCGTTGTAGAATACTGATTGTTTGCCAATGATGGAGTTATATGGGTTTGCTATCAATGAATTCAACTGTCTCGTTGCATGAGTATGAATTGTATTTACTTCAGTAAAGTTCAAGTTGGATATTTTTATTTTTTTCTCACAAAATGGATGAAAGAACAAATTTTCATTTTATATAAAGATGATAAATTCAACAGATTTTTTGGTTTGTAAAGATTAATAGTTGGTTCCAGGTAATGTAAATTGTATAAATGCACTTAATTGTTTTATTTTGTAATTTCATTAATGGTTTCAAATGTGATATACTTGTGCTTCCCCAAATTGATATTAAATATTGTAATTTTGAGTAAATCAGACAGAAATATTTATTCTTCAAATATCTAAGAGGAATGAAATTTCGAATTTTGTATAAAATGCCAGTAATTGGATTGAGCTTTTTTTCTCAGGTGATCTATATGTTTAGTCCACGATAATTGTACATCAATATAAAGACCTAAGAATTTTTCAATATCTAAATATTTTATGGCTTTCTGGTTGAAAAATATTGTTGTTTTCGAAATATCAGTTTTTCTTTTTGAAATATACATATACGTAGATTTGTCATAGTTAAGGGTCAGCTTATGAATTTGTAGCCAAGATGATATCATTTTCAAGTCAATTTTTATATCATCAACTATATCGTTAAATTCTTTGGAGGAATAGATTATTGTAGTATCATCTGCAAATAACTTCAGATCTCCTTTTAGTTTCAAAGATGATATTGAATTGATGTAAATTAAGAATAAAATTGGACCTAAAACGGAACCTTGTGAAACTGAAATAAGGGAATATATTGTAACTATAAAAGCATTTCTATTCATTTCTAATTAAAATCTGACCATGACAGCATTATGACAAGTCGTTATTGATAAAAACCAACTAGATTCGAGCGTCATTCCTGCGATTTTCGCATCAGAACAATGAATTTGGGAATTATATTCTCCTGAAAAACCCTAATTCAATGGGCATCAGAGGTATTGAAAACAATCTCATGAAAACATATCTAGAAAAAAGGACTATCACTAAAGGACTGCGTATAGTTTTGCAGCACAACTTTCAAAGAAACATAATTTGCATTTACATGTTGAGAACGGGAGCAGAATCGGTCCCGAAACGTCCAAAGATAAGTAAAAATTCGATATTTTTTCAATATATCTATATTTCTTTCTTTCAAACATTTTTTCAAACAAATTGTCACTGACAATAAGCTACTGGATTTTTCTTTTAGACTCCCTGATAGAAAAATTTGTTGAACGCAGTGACATTTTGGGGCAAATCATCTGATTTATCCCTCTACAAATATATTGAAATAATACGAATACTTTTATTTTTATAGAGAGAAAATCCCAAAGAATCAAGTAATATTGATCGATTTAGCTCTTCTAGATTCACCTTATGTTATTTTATTATTGTTGTTTGTAATCAACTTCCTCATACCAGGATTTTATTTCTGACTGGAAGCTATTTTCTCAATAAACAATGAACAAACAAAATCAATTGAATCAAGATGAATTACCTATGTATACCTTTTCGAGTAAAATTGCACTTTGAGAGGCAATCAGCGCCTCCTGTTGTTTATTAATGTCGGACAATTGCAAAACCGTTGCCTTGTTTTGTTTAATAACATCTGTGAGTTCGTCCACCAATTTTTTGAGTTCGCCTCGATCTCTCTCGAAGTCACGCTCTTTCTCTACGGCTAGATAGCACTGCTCTTGGTATTTCTCTTCGAGGAAATTATATCTGAAAATGTTGATTCCAAATCGAATCATTTTTCAAGAGGCATATGTTTTAGAAAATCTGATATGATGTGAAGCACCCTGTATAAATCTCATTAGAACTGTTTTCCCCTTTCTGATTATTTTTGCAGAATAGACCAATCGAATTGAATTTATCTAAGCATGTTTCATCCAAATTTGCGAAGCAATCGGATGCCTTTATTTTGGGTTATTATAGTAACTGAAAAATATATTGAATTTAACTTAAAATCTATACACTTTTTTATTTGTCTGCACAAAATCTATACTAGCGTATACAGGGTGTCCCAAAATTGCTGTGACACAGTGTAATGCAAATCAAATTGAGTTGATTGGACCCAATCAATTAATTTATGTAACAAAATGTACCGTTTGTCCGTGAGACGAGTTCAAGATAATATACATTTATTCTTACATATTTATAAAATTACCTCGATCCTAATGTTTCATATTGTTCTATTTTGGCCTGCAACTCATTGAATTCATTTTGTAATTGTTCGTACGATGATTTTTGGTTATGTGCCACCTCTACTTGAGAAGACAGTTCAGATATTTTTTGATTCAAAGATGACTCTTTTTGTTCTTGTTCTTTCATTCGAGAGTCGAATTTTTCCTTTTGTTTTTTAGCCTTCGCTTCTAGTCTTTCGCACACTTTACATTCAAAATTAATTAGTTGCTAAAAATGAAAGTATTCGTGGAAAATTCATATGCATGTAAGTTTTTTTACCTCTTCAAGTTTCTTAACTTCGTCTTTATATTGTTCTGTTTCCTTCAACGAAGTGTCTAGTTGTTTTTGCAGAGTTTTGATTGCTTCTGAGAAGTTTTGATTGTTATTGGCGTGTTGTTCACTATTTTCATGTAGAAGGCTTTGTAAACTCCCGAAAGTCTTATTCAACTCCACATATTTTATCTCTTTTTCTCTGATGGAATGGAGCAAGTCGGCATTACTGTCTTTGAGCTCTTTGATTATTTTTTCCTTCTCCTTCACGCATTTACAGAATTTATCTTTACTTTGCTTCATGATTTTGGAAGATTTCACCGCTTGGTCATGCAATAAAGCTACTTTTTTTTCATAGTCGCTCAAGATGTCCTTGGCTCTTTCCACGTCTTGGAGGGTGGCCAAATACAACTTTCTTTTCAGCTCCAGCTCCCGCTTCAGGTGCTTATTTTCTGATTTGAGCTGGGCATATTGTTCAGGTTCCCCTTTACCTACCAGATTCGCTGGATCTGGCTTAGCCATTTTTTCCAACTGAGTTCTAACGATTTCTATTTCGTTCTTGAGACCTGTTAGCTGCTCTGGACAGATGGATTGTTGGACAACCTAAGAGAATGGACGAAACTCAGTGAACAAAACTTGTCCCGCTTTTTTTTTCTTTTTTTTTATCGCTTGGAGCGCACGAAAGGGAACCCCTATAATGTTCAAAGAACATCGTGCGTTCCTAGGGAGGATAGGGATAGGAGGTAGGTATTGGAATTTTTTTTGAACTTCTGGAGATTAAATGTTGTTGGGAATACTTCCACAGGCAATGAATTCCAGAGCCTAGCCGTTCTATGGATGAAGGAGTTTTGATAAAGTGCTGTTCGACATCTTTCGAGGTTGACAACGAAAGGATGTGCTGACTGGGCTTGTCTAGTTCGTCTGACTGGTATTGGTAGTGAAGGGATGATAGCAGAGATTTCCGAAGCACATTTCCCGTGGAAGTATCGATAGAAAAGTGAAAGGTCGCCGACCTTTCTACGGTGTTCCAATGATGTCAAAGAGTGAGTGAGTGTGCCGCTTGGTGAGCATGAAAGAGAATCCCTATAATGTTCGAAGAACATCGTACGTACAGGGTGTCCCACTTAAATGGGTCACACTAATTCAACCTCGTAATTCTCAACATATTTCGGTCATTCGAAAACTTTTCTGGAAAATTGTCTTACGAAATCTGTGCTTACTTTTTCCCCACAACACAACAAATTACTTCCTTTTTTCTAACAAAATGATCGATATTTCTTCTATAATTCGAAGGAACCCGTCAATCTGGATTCAAAAATACAGAGAATAAGTGCACAAAAAGCGACCAGGACTATTCGAGATAGGGTTTTGAAAATTGGTGGGCAACTAGTATACCAAATTGCTCATTAATTGACGAACAAATTTTCCTTATACCGGGTGACCCGGAACCAATTTACCCCCCTGTATCTTCGTTGTTATTTTGTATGGATATTTCAAATTCGGTACTTCGATTTGATGTTATGAATGTACAATTCAGCAAGTATCAATCCAAATATGTCACTTCCGGATTTAGCGGAAGCGCATCCAATTTTTATATTTCGAATAGGAAGTATTATTTTTTTGAAAATTACAATTTGGTATGAAATTACCTTTACAATGACATATCACAATCATACTTTCAATTCACAATCTGCTGGTATAATTGACATTTTATAAAAAAAATACTTTTTGTGTTCCCCTCGTAACGGAATATTTTCATGAAAGTATGCTGTGGGAGATTGAATTATTGTTGCTTACATGATATTGTTCAATCTTCCACAGCATACTTTCATGAAAATGTTCCGTTACGAGGGGAACACAAAAAGTATTTTTTTATAAAATGTCAATTATACCAGCAGATTGTGAATTGAAAGTATGATTGTGATATGTCATTGTAAAGGTAATTCTATACCGAATTGTAATTTTCAAAAAAAAATAATACTTCCTATTCGAAATATAAAAATTGGATGCGCTTCCGGTCAAACCGGAAGTGACATATTTGGATTGATACTTGCTAAATTGTACATTCATAACATCAAATCGAAGTACCGAATTTGAAACATCCATACAAAATAACAACGAAGATACAGGGGGGTAAATTGGTTCCGGGTCACCCGGTATAACTCCCGGTTTTACGGAAACAACCTCAACTTTTCATTTTTAAATGGGACATCCTGTATTGTATTCCATAATCGGTTAGGGATTATCATTTCGAATTCAACGATACCGGACTTGATAGGGTTATTTCAAACAATTACAAAGATATTTGCGTTCGGAGTTTCCATATGCTCAATGGGTGTGACTTCGCAATATCAAAACTTCTTTCTCTGTCACACTAATTGAACATATGGAAACTTAGAACGCGAATATCTGCGTAATCGTTTGAAATAACTCTATCAAACCCGGTATCGATGAGTTCGTTATGACAATCACTAAACGATTATGGAATACATTTGAAAATCAAAAGTTGGGGTCGTTTCCAGTAAAACCGAAAGTGATAGAACAAAAATTTTCTCGTCAATTAATGAGCGATTTGGTATACTAGCTGCATACCAATTTTTAAAACCCTATCTCAAATAATTCGAAAGTTACAGACCTGGCCTTTTTTGTGCACTTCTCTGTATATGTATCATTCATATATTATCATCGAATGAAATTTAGATCATTTCATTCGAAAAAACTTTTTTTCGTTAGTCACCCTGTATTTTGATATGAAGAAAAAGTGAGCACAGATTCAAAAACATCGTGAAAAATGATTACAGAAACGTTTTTGAATGGTAAAAATATGTTGAGAATTATACGAGGATGAAGGGGGTGAAACATTTAGCTGGGACACCCTGTACCTAGGGAGGATAGGCAAAGAAGGTAGGTGTTGAAATTTTTTTGACCTTTTGGAGATTATGAGCCTTGAAAATCTTTGATAGGTCTTGTGTTTGTTACGAAAGAAATGTTTCATCAGAAGTTATATCTATCACAACAGGAATCATGAACGACAAGCTGTGTGTTGTCAATGAAAAAGCTGAAGCAAAATTGGGCACTTTTTCATCTCCTGGAGCGCACGAATCGTAATTCCTGTTATGTTCGAAGATCATCATGCGATCATAGGGATGATATGGAGAGAATTCCAAAGCTTTGCATCAGCTCTATGAACAAATGAGTTTTGATAGAGAGTTGAACCACATATTCAGAGGATGTGCTGACTGCGCTTGTCGAGTACGTCTGACTGGAGTTGCTGATTAGGAGATGATGGAAGAGATTTTTGTAGAACGTTTCCTGTGGAAGTATTTATAGAAAAGGGAAATGTCTCTGACTTTCCTTAGGGCTTTCAAATAATAAGTGAGTGTGGCATTACCCACCAGGCGAATATCTACTCTCTGGTATATTTGGGTGCTAAACTCCATAGGTCGGAACAGTATTCTGAAACATGCTGTATCTGTGCTTTGTAGATCATGAGTAGCTGTTGAGGTGTGAAGTAGCATTTCGCGCTGAATAAAAATATGGACTTTTGTGAAGTAACTTCCGCGATAGATCTGACATGATTATTTCTCATGAAAGAATATTGCTGATGGAAATACCGAGCACAGATATTGTAGACTTTGGAGGAATGGTGGTACCGGATAATGATATATCAGGCATACTGAGTTTCGCCTTTCTAGAGAAAATACAAGCTTGAGTTTTGGTGGCGTTGAATTCAACTAGGTTATTGGTTTCCAGGCTGTTATTTTAGCAAGATCTTTATTGACAGTGTCGACCGACCTTCCTCCGTCAGATCCACAAGATTTGCTGTGAAACATTCCTAACATCCTTTGTAGGAGATGAAAGATAGATCAGTAGTTGAGATAGTGCTTCATGACTTCATTAGGTAGGGTAAAAAAGTATAAAAGACAAATTCTATTTACGTGAGCATGAATTGGAGATGAGTTAGAAACTTGCAGTCTGCTGCGAGACTTAATTACACAACCATTTTTGAACGAGGTTCCATTGGAAACACATGAACAAGTTCGTTTCGGTTCAGCATAATGTATGTCAATCACTTGATTGTCTCCTGAAAAAAAAGGTATTTGTTTTTTTCTACACTATCAAGAAGCTGTTTATCATTCTCTTACCCATGTCATTACCCGAATAAACAGAATTTGTCCGAAAGACAGTTGCCCAATTTTGATCAGGGAACGTAACGGATTTCTTGTTCTTTTGTGAATTACCAGGGCTCTTACTTCTGGTCCTTGATTTGTGTCTAGAAATGTGCCAAGTTACAATAATCTGAATGTAGTTATAGATGAGGATTTCCATACTTAGAGACTGTTTTGTTTTCTGTGCAGAAACTGGGTATCTGACAAACCTGGATCATATGATGTTGGGAGCAAGGAATTCTGTTTCCAGAATTCATGGAATTCGGACGGGAACAAAAACTAGTATTATGAACAGATTCTTGTAACGAAATGGACTGATCGGACCGTGGAGGTCCCTTGGTACATAAATTCGTGATAAATCCCTGAAATAGAGTTGAGAATAACCAATTTTGTTATAGTTCTTATAAATAATATCCCTACCTTGGACATGTTTGTGACTGTTGATGTACTTTTAATTTTGAAAATGTGTGTATTCACAATCAATTTTTGACATTTCAGCACGGATGACATAGACAATCAGATAATGGAATACAGGGCCACATAGTTGGTTATGACTGGGCATATAAGGTGAACTTTCAGACATTCGAATAATTATGTTCAGTTACCTTCACATATAAATTGATAGCAACATATAATTTGCCTAATGCGTCTTCAAAGAGTCAAACCATTTGGAAAAAAATATGCGTACATGTGTAATTATCGGAAGGCATTATTATTATTACTAAATAGTTTCGATATTTTCTCCTATTCTATCATGAAATAGGTATAGAAGGTCGAGGTGGTAACATTGAAGGTGGATATATTCTCTGAACTGTGTGGCTATACAGAGTCCATGAAAAAATCAAGTCCACAACCTCTAAGTTAGTTTCCAATTAAAAATAATGAATAATTATTCAGCACGTAACATGTTGTACCGAATGTTTATTCATACCTATTGTAAATTGTACATATTATACATATTTATTTTATAATTTTTATATTGACTCGGCCATTACTTGATGAAATAAATCGATAGTAAATGTAGAAAACCTTGTAACCTTGTGAGTTCATGTACTGAAGATTAGGGTAGTTCAGTTACCGAACTACTTATAGAGGTGTTTCTGAAAGTTTTATGTTGTATTGGGCGTATTTTCTTATCTTCATATGATTTTTTATGAATACATCATTCCTTTTAATGAAGCAAAAACGATTCATATAGGTATACATCCTGTACTAATCCAACATGAATGCATGTCAAACTATCATCCCATAATAATCATGATTATTCCTAGCACTATACCCATAGCAACCTAAGCTACTCTCTAATTGAAACTTTATATATACTCCAAAACTCTAGTGATTTTCATTTGCATGAAATTGATTTATTTTCTGGCATTGCTAGTAATGGAATGGTAGCAGAGATTTTGGAAAAACATTTCCAGTGGAAGAATATCTACAAAAGTCGACGATGTCGAAGAATTAGTGAGTGTGAATGGAATCTGAGAGTATCAGCGTATGTTTTGGGTGCTGAACCTCATTTGTGCATGAGAAGGGAACAGTATTCTGAAACAGGCCGTATCTATGCTTTTCAGATCATAAGAAGCTGTTGAGATGAAAAGTTCCGTATTGCTTTGCTGATGGAAATACCGTGCATAAATATAAGAGGTCTTAGTGGGATTGATTAGTTTCCAAATGGTGTATGTATTCACAGTTTTCAATGAGGTTTTCGATGATTTCACAGTTTTCAATGATTTCACAAAATTTTAATCAATTCAATTGAAAGATTTTGGATTTAGTGTAGGTACTGTTTATATTATAGCAGTAGTGCTTCCGTAAAGTACTGATTCAATTTTTAGCCAATATATCTATTTCTGAGGGATCTCCTGGAATTAGTCAATTGTCAATCTCAATTTGCCACATTCATACGGGAAAATTGAATGTATAAGGTGATCCGAGTTTGAGTGATGACGTCCGCAACAATGTTTTCGAAGGAACGCCCTATATATTATTCAATTTCTGATATCTTCATGGAAAGCAGGAATAATAATAAAAATGATAATAATATAAATGTTTATTGAAGTTCCAGAAATATACATTAATATTTAATGTATAGATAAATAAAGATTAATGATGCCAAAATTATAGGACAACAATAATCTTTTAAGGAAATCGCATGCAACATGCATATATTAATATAAGAACAATTAACGAAAGATAAAATAGTAATAATAATACAATAAGAAAATACATACTGAAATTATTCGAAGTATTGAGACCAGAACAACGCTATATGAAGATAATAACAGATTATAATTGTCATATTCCCATATTACGAAAGTATATGTTGTTGCAGTTCAGATAACAGGTTTTTTTCAAAGCATTTTCAAATTTGTTGTGGTTAGTTTGACCAAATATATGTTTGTAATTGTTTAGCAAAGTTGGAGCAACATGTTCGAAACATCTCTCAAACTTTGTTGTATTATGCCTAGGAATTGAGTAATCGTCTATGTTGCGTAAGTTCACGGAATGTTCAGTGGATCTCATATGGAGCAAGATATAGAGATAAAGTGGTATATTTTGAGTGATTATATTATAAATTATAGAACCATAGAGCAGAGTGAATCTACCATCAACTTTCAGAATACTTCTATTAAGTATAGTATAAAATTGTGTAATATGATCTCATACAACTATTTTGAAGAACCTGTAATTTTTGCTTTATTTCTCCATTCAAGTAGTTATAATATATACTAGACCCATAATCAATATGTGTAAGTATAAGAGCGTTGATCGGATTCCATTTTGTTTCTTGTGGGAGTACATACTCATATTTCTACAATGACTCAAACTTGAAATAGCACACTTTCAATTTACTCATTATGTGTTTCTCAAACGTTAAATTTTCGTCGAGGATAATCCCTAAATGTTTTGTATATTACAAACAGGTATTGTAACTAGTGCAAATTCAGTGCATATTTAGTTTTTATTTTTAAATGTGGTAAATTGAGATTAAAAATCGACAGGAGTGTTCTCAGAAATGGATAGTTTAGCTAAAAATGATTTTATTCAGTACCTACTCTACGAAAACATTGTATTTTCTGAGAATTTCAATAGTTTTATAGAGGGTCTATTTTTTGTGATTGAAATTTAGCGATTTGAAGGTGCAGGTATTCAATTGGAGAGTAGTTAATTTCGATTATAGTTCCAAAGCAGATGTTTATCTTCGGCAAACATTTCCTTGTACCTAACATTTTCCTACCTATCTACCGTGCATGTGTCATGCAAGGTACATCCTCTGATCACTATTTATACATATATCATTCGGTAACCTCATCATTAAGTTACTATCAACCAAACAATCAATAACCTGAGAAAAAACTCGTGATTATGTTGACCTTCGTCCCAAAACAGACGGTGGTACCATCGCTGTTGGTGCTGTGGTGTATTTCTTTCGAAGGTAAAGTAAAGTTTTGGAGGTTCTGATAAAATAATCAAATTCGAAAATGTATTCCTTAGGAAATCACAATAATGAACTGGGCGTCAATTGAAACGTTGATAGTGAAATTTGGCATCAAATTTGACTTCTTGTAATTTCTAAAATATTGAACGAATTTTGAATTGCCGCCCAGATTCTGAATGCCTTTTTCATCGTCTTTCGAACCGTTCCTTACAGCTTCTTCTAAATTGATCAGGATCCATGATACAGGGTGAAACAAAGTTACGTGCATTTTGAAAACAATTTCTCCGCCCCCCCATTTTGTCGAAAGACCACGATGCTCATATTTTATTCAGGCATTTCATAAATAGCAACCATACCTCGGAACGTTTTCGAGTTTTTGCCAAAAATTACTGTGGTTTCCGAAAAAAAAATTTTTTTAGCATTTTTTTTAATGGACTAATTACCTGTATCACCAAAACGATGAATCAGTCTCTTTATTGTCATGACTGACTTATTGGAAATGGTACTTGAATGAGTTTGGGTATATCCTCTAATCGTCGTAACCTGAAATAATAAATTATCTGTACTGAATTATAGTTTATATCACTATAGTGATCTTACCTAATGATATTTTCCATTTCGACCCGATTTGAACGAAGCATTTTTAAATTATTTAGGACCCGAATTACACTGACGTTTTCATGAAAATTGGCAATTGATATAACCTCTATGCATATACCTACATTGTTTCAACAATACGCTGTTATATAAAAACAAGGTATCCTTGTTTGTATTTGTTGATTTACTGCTCACTAAGGTAGAAAACTTTCAATTTAGACTGCGAAGTAATAAATTATTGATTGTTTTTGAGTAACCTGGTATACATATCCGCTCCAACGATTTCCTGAAATGCATAAAAGCATCCATTCATGGAACTTCTCTAAAAGAAGTCCATTTAAAAAAAATGCAAAAAAAAAATTTCTTTTCGGAAACCACAGTAGTTTTTGCCAGAAACTCGAAAACGTCCCGAGGTATGGTTGCTATTTATGAAATGCCAGAATAAAATATTAGCATTGTGGTCTTCTGACAAAATGGGGGGGCGGAGAAATTTTTTTCAAAATGCACGAAACTTTGTGTCACCCTGTATCACGGGTCCTGATCAATTTAGAGGAAGCTGTGAGGAACGGTTCGAAAGACGATGAAAAAGGCATTCAGAATCTGGGCGGCAATTCAAAATTCATTCAATATTTTAGAAATTACGAGAAGTCAAACTTGATGCCAAATTTCACTATTAACGTTTCAATTGACACCCAGTTTATTTAAAAAATCCTATACGTCTTTTTGCAACTGAGCTACCATTCTCAGTAGAACTGAAAAAATAGATGAATATGCTTCCACAGTGGGTTTCTCAAGAAATTACCATCAAGAGTGTTATTTTTAATGTCTGTAGGTTAATATACGTGTAGTAAGGACGAATCAGATGATTTGCCCCAAAATGTCACTGCGTTTACAGAATTTTTGTATCAGAGAGCCTAAAAGAAAAATTTACTAGCTTGTCAGTGACAATTTGTATATGTACAGGGTGTTCCGGTGATCATGTTACAAACTTCTAAGGTAGATAAAACACACGAAAATAAGAAAAAAGTTCACGTGAACATGGGTACGGAAACGCTTCTTCAGGGAGCTAGGGCCCTTCGATGATGACCTTCAAAAACTACTTTTCGTTTTATAGCTTCGGTACTATACTGCAGCTATCGAAAAGGCAATACATTTCTCTAATCTAATTTATTTTCATTAAAGAAGAAGATTTGACTAACTAATAATGCTCACTATCTGTACTGAACCTCATTTTCATATTTCAACGTAATAATTGGTTTGAGACCAATAATTTATTATTGATTGGATTTAGCCATTTTCGGAGGAAACGGTGACAGATAGCGATTTTTACAAGTGTACCTTTTTTATGTAAAAGGCATTGGAGAATCATAATCAGATATAAAAATGGTAAGAAATTAAAGCCTAAGAGGAGTAGGGTCAAATTTACCCAAATACCCCCCTGATTTGTACGCCCCTGGTTAAAGGCTCAAATTGATGAACCTTCGAACTAGATTTCATGTCCCAAAATTGGTTGCGATAGCTGCAGTAGTACCGAAGCTATAAAACGAAAAGTAGTTATTGAAGGTCATCTTCGAAGGGCCCTAGCTCCCTGAAGAAGCGTTTCCGGACCCATGTTCACATGAACTTTTTTTCATATTTTCGTGTGTTTCATCTACCCTAGAAGTTTGTAACATGATCACCGGAACACCCTGTATATAAAGGTGTGGAGAAGAGAAATAAAGGTTTGGAGAAGAGAAATAAAGGTTTATAAAAAAATCAATTTTTTACTTATCTTTGGACGTTTCGGGAACGAATCTGCTCCCGTTTTCAACATAAAAAATGGGTGTTTTTGTATGGCAAATTCGTATTTTATTTGACACTTCTCAGTTCTCAGTGACAATTGGTGATGTTGGCAATCAAATGAGTTACAGGGTATTTTCATTAATTAATCTTGAATTTACCATTTTCTTTCTCAGATTTCAATAGTGAATACCATGTTCTATCTATATCAACTGAACAGGAAGCAATGCTATTGTCTCCGGTCAAAAAAATGCAAGCAGATTCCTTGATTTTTCTCTTCTGGTTGTTTTCTTCTTTTCCAATGATTTTAATATTATTCCACTCTGCCATATGTTGTCCATCTTCAGTAAGGATATGTTCAGCAAGTTCCGATTCTTCAATGTGTCTTTTCCTTATATTGTACTGGAAATGAAAATGGTGAATTCAAGATTAATTAATGAAAACATCCTGTAACTCATTTGATTGCAAACATCAATAATTGTTACTGAGAACTGAGGAGTGTCAAGAAAAATACGAATTTGCAATACAATGATCCATTTTTTCTACTAGCGTGCGGAAAAGTTAACTTTTCCGCACTCAGTTTTGGAAGCGGCTAGAACTGCAAACTTGGATCTACTATCATCGAAATCCCGTCACAGGTATAAAAAGAAATATAATTTGTTCGAAAACTGGTGCCAGAATAAGGGAATCAAAAGTTTCGAAGAAGACGTTTTTTTGGCTTATTTCGCTGAAATTTCCAAAACATGCAAGCTAAACACTCTTTGCTACAGGTACACAATGTTGAAGAGTGTAATCAAATTAAAAAAAAATTTCAATTTGGGCAAGTTTTCCAAGGTCACGGCATATATAAAAAAACAAAACATTGGATTTAGGCCAAAAAAGACAAAAATTTTCTTGAAAGAAAAAATATTCCAGTTTATAAATGAAGCATCTGACGAAATTTATCTTCATCATCATCATTTATTCATTTCCATTAGACAATTTACATTGTATTGGTACAGTCATTTTGAAAGTAGGTATATACAATAGTAGATAGAGAAGAAGAAGATACTATTTACAGTTCAAAAGTTTTCCGAACCCTAATATATTCAGAAAGACCAAAGCAAATATAATAAATAAACTCAAACAGTGCTTGAAAAAAATTCGTTCATATTGTAAAAACAGTTGTCAATTAAGAATGTTTTCAATTTGATTTTGAAGTTAGTCAATGATTTACTGGCTTTTACATAGTCTGGTAACTTATTGAATACTTTCAAACCCATATGATCAGGTGACTTGTATGATATTTCATTTCTGGAGAATGGTACATGAAAATGATCTCTTTGTCGAGTGCTATAATTATGAAAATGTTCATTTAGTGGAAATGTTTGCTTGTTTTGAAACACATAAATACCTAATTCATATACAAATAGGCATGTCAAAGGCAAAATATTGTATTTGATAAACAATTCACTACATGATACTCTACGTGAGACTTTTGCAATGCATCTAATAATGCTTTTTTGAGCAATGAAAACATTTGATACATCAGTAGAATTTCCCCAAAAACAGATACCGTACCGCAATCTTGAATCTACTTGTGCATAATACAAATTTAACATCTGATTCATCTCCAGTACATCTCTCAGATTGATGAAAAGAAATTTCAAAGAAGATAACTTAGATGCAATTTTTTTACAATGATCTTTCCAGTTTAGATTCTCATCTAGATTGATGCCTAAGAATCTAATCGAGCTATGAATGCTATACACTGGACTATTATCAATATTAAATACCAAATCATCGACCCTCTTCTGGCTATGATGAATTCTTAAAACTTCTGTTTTTTTGGTGTTGAAAAACAAACTATTATCATTGAAATAATCAGAAACTTTGGTCATCAATTCTGAGCATTTGTTCTCAAGTGCATGGGTTTCTGCTGCCGATATAATGAATGAAAAATCATCTGCATATGCAGTATAATGTGTATCGCCAATGAAATGATCGAGTTGATTAACGTAGAGTATAAAAAGCACAGGGCCCAAAATTGAGCCTTGTGGTACCCCCATTTCTAATATCAGATTCCCTGAGTTGAATTGTTGAACTCTATTTTCCGAGAAAGTTTCTAATGAAACGAATTGTTTGCGGTGTTCTAGAAAAGAAGATATCCACGATAAGGATACACCCCTCATGCCATACATTTCCAATTTAGTCAACAGCTTTTTATGATTGACACAGTCAAATGCCCTGCTGAGATCACAGAAAACTGCAGCAGGACATTCGCCTGCATCAACATAATCAACAATCTGCTTATAAAATGAAAACATAGCGGTTGACGTTGACCTTTCCGACTGAAATCCATGCTGTTTACTTGTTAAGATGTTGAATTGATCTAAGAACGATGTGAGTCTATCTAGGAAAGCATACTCAAACACCTTTGAGAAACTATTTGGTACTGTAACAGGCCTATAGTTCCCCAATTGGGTGGGATCATTTTTTTTGAATAAGGGCAACACTTTTCCAGTTTTCATATTCTGGGGAAAACATCCAGTTTCAAATGATTTATTCACTAAATATGTAATAGGTTCAGAAATAATTCGCATAATTCTTTTCAAAAGAAATGCTGGGATGTCATCTTCCCCTGCTGACTTTTTATTTTTCATCTTTATATTAATAATTTTTAAAAGTTCTTCCTCGGACACTGGATTCAGAAACATAGTTTTCACATTAAAGTCATTGAAATATGTGAGATTAACTGATGGAATATCATTCATCAAATCAGTAGGACCTTCAACGAAAAAATTATTAAATTTTGCAGCTACAGTATTGGGGTCGCTTATGACAACACCATCATTTCTAATGAAAATTTCCTTAGGTTTCTTTTTGTTGTTTGTGAGTTCCCTTACAACATTCCATGAAGAACGTATAACATCATCGGAATTCGTTATGCGTTCTTGATAGAAACTCTTTTTTCTCGCATTCAATAGAGCATAGTGCTTTTTCTTAGCTTCATTGTAAACCGGTGTCAAACGGTCATCGCATGTTTTAAGAGTGAATAAATCTTTCAGGTTGCGGCTCGAAGATACTACGCTACCATCTACCCAGCTTTTTTTCTTATCGTACATGTAGCATTTTCGTTTGGGAAAATTCACCTCAAAATGTGATAAGAAAATATTGTAAAAATGATTAAATGCTTCGTTAAAATCCTCTATATCATAAAGGGATGACCAATTTTCTGTTCCTGAAGAATATTCGAAATTACTAATATTACCTTCATTGAAACTTCTTTTCACTTTCGATACCTTGGAGATAGTCCCGCATTGCCTCAGTGATTTCAATTCGGCTAGTACAGTCCTATGGTCTGAAATTGTACTGTCTATGACGCAACAAGTGTCACTGTCATGTGAGCTTATAAAAATCTGATCAATAATAGTACAGGTGTCATTAGTCACTCGAGTAGGCCACTGAACTATTGGAGTAAGATTCATAAAAGTACTTAATGATAAATGTTTCTTCATGTCACCACTTGGGTTTTTCCGCACAATATTAGAAAAAAATAATGTACCTAACACGTGCCTAAAGTAACTTTTCCGCAATTGTTAGGTGAACTACTATTGAAAACGGTAGCATATTCGTTCCCGAAACGTCCAAAGATAAGTAAAAAGTTGATATATTTTTTATATACCTTTATTTCTCTTCTCCAAACCTTTTTCAATACAGATTGTCACTGAGAAGCTAGTGAATTTTTCTTTTAGGCTTTCGATAAGAAAATTCTTTAAACGCAGTGACATTTTGGGGCAAATCATCTGATGAACGTATATTGAAATAATATCGATATTTCATTTTATAGAGACGACGGGAGAAAATCCCAAATAATCAGGAATAATGAAGTCAATCAATCAATCAATCAATCCTTTATTGTTCATCAAAACTTTACAGTTTTATAACAATGTGAGTTCAGAGATAAGAGACGTGACGAATAATATATAATAGAAAGAAAATATGAAATATAAAAAATATATATATAATGTCCGTGCAATGCATACAGTCGTCTTGTTCAGAAAACATGTATCAGATGAACGACGATGAGACTTCTAATAACTTCTGTAATATCTACGCAGACCTCGTCCAATTATGACATGTTTTCCGAAGCTACACACTTATACAGTAACAGAAAAACTGAGCCACTCTAATACATAGTTGAGTCTCAAGAAGAAATAAACAGAAATAAAAATTACAAGTTATTCATTCAATATGAACGAACGCAGTTTTAAAACATTCCATATATATGTAGCTGTAGCTTTTGCTATCGAAGGCGTAATATTCTCGAGAGCATGTAGCAATGCGTCAGGGCTGTTGAAATATATAAGGGCAGTTTGAAGATCTCATAGAGCAAAAGATTGGACAATCGAACATGAGGTGTTGGATTGTTTCGTGTGAGTGGTGATTATAAGTGGGTTATAAGTGAATTTTATCCTGAAACTATTGCAAGTTCTAAGTTGAGCGATCGTTCTTGTTATTTTGATAGGCATTTTCATCTGGAGATATTTTTGTGGTGATTTGGATCAGGAATAATGAAGTGTTATTCTTGGAGAATATCACGAAATATTCTATATTTATAGTTGATCTAAATGTCTTAGTAGCCGAATTACATAATACATAAATCTTTTCTAAATATTATTATAATGTTACTATAGTACTTTGCGTATATTTTTATATTTGGTTTTTCCAAAGGGGTGGACAATGCGGCCTTACAGGCGATAGGTGTGAAAAATTCCCTTTATGACATTCCCGGATTGGGAGAGAGGCCTCTGATGATCAAAGCATATCCAGCTGTGGAGAATTATCAAAGTGACTTGTATGAAGTTTATGCGGAACCGTACACATATGTAAGTACTCATCTTCATTTGATTTTTTTCGAAAATATTCCAAACAAACGATAAGAACCTAACTCATATACAAGGTGGTCCGGTTTGTAATACTCCAACAGTGTGTTGAACTCGTTGAGATAATAAAGAAAGTGCATATAAACATATACTTTCAAACGCGTCGTTTTGGATATTTTTTTTCTCGTAAACGAAGCTGGATATGAAGAAAATACAAGAGACCAAAAAGTTGTATTTTGAGTTGTTCAATCAAAAAAGATATGAAAATTTACCCACAAAAGTCAGTGGCGTACTTTTTTTTACAATATCGTTGGCTGTGGTGCCCACTGAGACGCCACTGGCCCCAATAATTTCAATCTAAATAGAGGTGAATAAGCGCCTCATTAGTTCAAATGAAATAACCAAATTGCAACCAAATCGGTTCCAGGATATTCATAATATTTTGTTATTATCGTTTTTTTTAATTTAATTCCAACGCCCTGTATCTCAGAAACGAAGCAACTCCGGACATATGTTAATAGGAACTTTGCTTCCTAAAATGACCTAACGAATCACCACCTGCAGTTAGGAACCGTAGTTAGGGAACACCCTGTAGAGTGTTGAAAATACGAGTCGAAACGGTTTGAGATGTATCAACAAAATTTCTCACAGATACTATAACTTCTTACGCTCTATGAGATGAAACAGTGAGCATAGCACTCTTGTTTCAATTACAATCATATAGTATTATTGAACTGAAAATTTCACAATATTTTTCAACCAATTCAACTAGAAAACGGCGAAATGCTTCATAAACTCCCAGGTGACCTTTTTCACGCAGATGCCTATGTTTTTTTTCAGATTTTGAACCACAAATTGAGAAAGAAATGCACCTATGAAAATTGGGGTGATTTTTTCTTCACCACCCCCCGATTCAGCCGCCACTGAATTACTTCATGGAATACTTTCTATATCATCTCATAGAGCGTAAAAAGTTCAGTATCTGTGAGGAATTTCGTTGATTTATCTCAAACCGTTTCGAAATTTTCAACGAAAAACAATATTCAGACTCGTATTTTCAACACCCTATATCTCGAAAACGATGCGTTTTTTATCATTTTAACGAGTACAACACACTGCTGAATTTTTGTATTACAAACCCGATACATAGTGAGATATTGCAACATTGAAGTTATTTGGTAGTGTTTTTCAATTCTTCGAAAATGCTATACATGTGACTGGAATCATGTACAGTGTGAATCAATAATCTTAAAAAAACTGGAGTTTATCTAGAAATATGAAAGGTACATACTAGTCAAATGATACGAAGTAGGATTTTTTTAGCAGCGACAGGGCGTTGTGTACATCATGGCAATATGGGTTTTCAACAATATCTCAGTGATTATACGTCGAAAAATTTGAGCCATACTTTTTTTTACTAACATTGATTAGCTATAACCATTATTGCAAAAGCGTACGGCACAATACCTTCATTAAAAATAGAAGGGATCCCAAAAATAATTTTATTCCATATTCCTTCTCTGACCCATATCATATTCAATTGAACAGTTATCTTCCTATAACATATTGAAATTCAGGTTATTGATATCATCTAAAAGGTTTCTTTGAAGAATTATCATCTTAGTGGCCGATGAAATAGGACAGCTCTCTGCTTAGGTTGTTTGTTGTTTGCAGGCATCGAAGTGACCGAATGTGTTATAGTTCGATCTCCATAAGTGGAAAGTGGCAAATCAATAAAATATTTCAACGGTTACTAGGGTGTTACGATATAGATATCCTAATTATACATCGTGATACACAGAAGTGTTTCTCAAAAGAGTCCTGTCGTTTAATAAAACATAATTGGAGGAACCCATGGACCGATTTTCATCACTATCAATGGTGAAAGGTACAGACAAGTGATGTTAGAACCATTCATTAATCAACTTGATGATGAAAAAATTCGAGTTGGCTATCTTCAGCAAGATGGGGCCACTGCCCACACCACAGGTGCAAATTTAGAATATTTACAAGAATTTTATGACAACCGTGAGATAAATCCAGGAGTTAATCCTTCATTTCCAACACGTTCTCCAGATTTGACTCCTTTGGATTTCTGCCTTTTTGGAAAGACGAAGTATTCGAGAGAGACAATATTAACCTTGAAGAGCTGCAAGCCTCAATAACACATTGCTGCCAAAATATTGGTCCGGAAATGCTAGGGAACATTTTCGACAACAAACGGCGAAGAGTTTTGAAATGCTTGGAGAACAACGGAGAAAATTTTGAACATTTGGTTAATGAAATGAACCGCTATTTATTACTTCTTTAATAAATATTTTTGATTTGTTCCATTATTTTTGAAACTCAAATATTGGACTCTCCTTCGTTGAGATACATTTCCATAGTGTATGCAAAACGATATAAAAAAAGATCCTGTATATGATCGCTTCCTCTATTTTTGGTCGTTAAATGTTGTAAACAGCATTAGAAGAAAGCAGCAAATGGAAAAAAATGTTAACAGCCACTACGATGTTACTATCTTTTATAGAGACCCTGCATTATAAGCGATAAGCCACCAATCATAAGGGAACATTTTGGGACAATTGATTCTGTATTGCAATTGAGAATTTATCAATGTTTGAATTACTAATATTTCTGAAGTTCCCAATCTTATTTCAACACATGGCAACTGTGCTTGTGTCTGCCTCTACTTTTGAAATCGTGACGTCAATTTTTAATCGCGGTAAATTTCTATCCGTTTGATGATTTTAGCACCTGAGAATCGACCGAACAGCTCTAAAAACATATACAATTGAAAGTTATTTGAGTGATGACTCTATTCAAGAAATAAAGAAGTCCACTCGCCTATTGCCAGTTCAGAGTACATTCATTTTTGTCGAACCGAAGCATTAATAAGTGTTCCTGATTGTGACAATTTTTTCTCACTATTTCCTGCATTCATCTCAAGGACTTGCGAGCTCAAGCAGCAATCGTAGTACTTCAGGGAGAAGGAGAAAACGACGTGAAGGGCGAGATCATGTACGTGCAGCAACATCCACCAATAGGGCCGGTTCTGATAAGGGGTAATATCACCGGACTTCCCGCAGGCAGACACGGCTTTCATATCCACCAGTCAGGAGACTTGAGGCAAGGTTGCGACAAGCTAGGTGGACACTTCAATCCATATTTGGTAAATATTGTCAAAAAGTATAAATGCCTATGAATTAACATCACTCAAACTCCCGTTCATTTCAAGACCTATTATCATAATTCAACTTTTCCAAATTGAAACATTCAGTACATTGTAGTTTTGATCAGGTCAGCGGAGTTCATTAGACGTCAGTTCCTTCTTAGTTTGCTAAAACACCGCTTACCACGCGATAATACCTAGGTAAGCAGTATCGAAAGGTAACGACCATTCCCATAGCGGAAAATTGCGAACCTAGCATCGGTTCTGAATATAGGTTAGGGTAGGTTAGGTTCCATGTGAGTGGGGGCGAACACCTCCCCTCCACTGCGACCCCAGATGGGTCTATTGTGACTCACCCCTAGAGGTTACAGTTCACCGTACAATCCACATCTTTTTACAAAGTTCATGGTTGAATTGGGTGAGATTTGTCTGAAATCGATAGGTTCTAGGTTGGTAAAGCCAAATGTGTCGAACCTTAGTCTTTCTAAGCTAGAGCATGAACATAATATGTGTTCAGCCGTTTCGTCTTCCACACAACAGAACCGACAGTCCGTTTGTTGGTTCAGACCCATCCTTCCCAGGTGGTATCTTAGACGACAGTGTCCCGTAAGCAGTCCAGTCAGAATTCGCAGGTTACCCCTGCACCATTCTAAGATCTGCCTGGTTATTTTTTCCGATGGTTTAGGCAGGAACGCCTTCGAATGGGTTAATCCTGGTAATTCGGACCAGTACCTGAGTGTTTTTCCCTCCGCCCAGCCCGAGATAGTTGTTTTCGCCGCACTTGCGGTGACCCCAAAATATGGTTCTGGTCTTATGAACACAGATTCGGTTCCCTGTTTGGCGAGGATGTCGGCTTTCTCGTTACCCTCCACCCCCTGGTGTCCAGGCACCCACAGCAAAGTGGCTCTGTTGTTAGCACCCAGGCTTTCTAGGGATTCAATGCAGCTCCATACAAGCTTGGAATTTATCTTGCTGGAGCTCAGTGCTTTAAGAGCAGCCTGACTGTCTGATACAATACTGATATTTTTGTTTACTAGAGGTTTATTCGACAACTCTCTAGCACACAATGCAATTGCGAATATAAATAGTACCCGAGTCCATAAGGGAATCATTCATTATCTATACACAAGTCATTCAGTGATTTTCAATTGAAAATGTTCGTCATCTCCCCGACTTCAAACCTGCTGGTCAACCCCCTGCTAGACGTTTTAATGTGAGTACTGTTTTTTTCTCAAGTGTTGTTTTGCGTTGTGTTTATTTGGCAAGCCATTATGTTCTTTTTCCTTTGCTAACCTGCCATGTGGCAGCATTTATTTATGACCTCTTCATTTACTCAATGAATGTTGATTTTTTATGAAAACTGTCCGGTCTCTTTATTTGGGGGTGAATATGGTTGGGTGGTGAAATGATCAAAACCTCTCGTCAAAAAAAGCCAAGCGAGTAGCTGAGTCACAACCTATAGGAGGGTCAACATCTGAGTTGCGACAATATCACGAACAGAAACCCAATCAACTACATCAGTCGCATATAGGTATATAGGTAGTTTATCAATTAGGATTTTGAAAGAATAGACCCATCTGACCATTTTTAATGACGGAAGCCGTCGTTTTCAGAGAAGGGGCATGTCACAATTTTTTTTTATGTTCTGGCTCCCCGATTTTACCAGGGGTCTTTTGAGTGCTATTGCACCAGGCGGCAAAATCTTCAGGACGTTAAGAAAAGCACAATTAGGAGAAAAAATACGGCAAAAAGTTCAAACCAGAGAGAAAAATGGCAGACACAGTGTTTTATTTTAAGTTGCAGCTTTGAAATTTTTCGTCGGACTTCCACCTACAAATCTTGTTCAGAATCATTTGACTTTCTGTTCAAGATAGTGTCAGCAGAGGATGAAAATCTGAACAAATTGGCAACTAAACTACAAAAAGGATCTGGACAAATTTGTTTCTGACGAATGTTATGCATCTAATAAAAACAGTTTTCTCTCCTAGAGACAAAAGCAGAAACTCCTATTATGGAATTAGTCCAAGTTCTACACGAGTATAATGTTAGTGTGAATACTCAAAGATAATATCTTCTTTTCCCACTATAAATATCTGTTTTCGAAATTTTTGAGCAAACAGTTTTGTCTCAACTCAAACAAGATCTACTAACTGAAACTAATGTATAGAGCTTGTGAAGAGTATCATACATAAAGGCTTGCATTGAAGCAAGACAATACATTTTTGTATTGTTACTTCATGTTCCTAGTTACGTACTTGCCTATTATTATCATTCGATTTTCCTTTTTGATTCCAACATATACCTATTCATTTTCCTTGTTATTCATTATGTGAACACTTAAGAATTATGTTTTTGATTTTATTCCACAACATCCTGTTTGTTATATTATATTTTTCATTTTGTTCATCAAACTTTAAAAAAAAAACTTATACGATTATGCCGGTCTTATGGTACGCGAAAGCCGTTTTGACCGATGATGAATAGTTTCGTAACAGAAAAACCCTAAAGTTAAAAAATCTCGATTTTGAACATCCTATATCTCTGTAATCATTTTCGCTAGACCCCAAGTGTGATACATTGATGAAATCAGCTCTTCAGGGAGAATCTAAAAATACAATGAAAAATAGGGTGTTCCATTAAAATAAATCAAATAGTACCCTGTAGATCGTTTGTTCCGAGCACCATGTATTTTCTGATGTAGCGGAAAAAAACTTTATCGAAAACCATTTTAGATGATATTTAATATTTTACAATCGGTTCAAAAGGAACTGAGGTTATGGTGAATCACCCGATACAATATTGTAAAGTTGTGTGTAAAGTGAATTTTACTACATTATATTTCAGGCGGAGTGAAAGAAACGAAATTCTATAATTTTGATGGTATATTCTAGCTTCATCATGGTGCTCCTACCGACCCCATTCGCCATGCGGGGGACCTTGGCAACGTGGAGGCAGGAGAAGACGGCAAGGCGGAGATCCGCATCGTGGACCCCCTGGTGTCCCTTTCGGGGGGGCCCAGGGGGGTGGTGGGCAGAGCCTTGGTGGTGACTGCGGAGGTGGACGACCTCGGGAGAGGCGGCACGGCTGATAGCCTCACGAACGGCCAAGCTGGAAAAGCTCTGGCTTGCGGGATCATCGCCTACATCAGATGAAGCGTGGTTTTGTTACTGCACCTTTTCCAATTTAAGTTCAAATGAATTGAAAGTAAAAGAAAATGTTTGATAATAGTAGATTGTTTTATTAGAATCAGAAGTGACACTTTGTTTGACAATCGAATTTTGTATTTGCGAGGCGGAGCGTTTTGCGAAGCCGAGCGAAAGCAAAATTTGCGAATCAAACAAAGTCACTTTTGATCCGAATGAAACATGCTATTTTTTCTGCCACCGAAACAATTAATTCAAATGAATATGTGGAGTAACCACCACTGCAGTGCTATATGTATGCAATGCGAGTTACTCTCAACAAGCTCTTTCATTTGATACCCATATTGTTGAAGTGCATTAAAAATATCTATTACGCCGTCCTGGATGGTCCACCATATTGGATTTTGAATGACTTCACATTATTTTTCGAGTTACTCTCAACAAGTCCTGTCATTTGATACCCATATTGTGGAAGTGCATTTGAAATAAGTATTTCGTCATCTTGCATGGTCTGCCATATCGAATTCAGAATAAATACATATCATTTTTCGAGTTACTCTCAACGAGCCCTTTCATTTGATACCCATGTTGTAGAAGTGCATAAAAAATAACTATTCCGCCATCTTGGATGATCCGCCATATTGGATTTAGAATAACTTCACACACCTTATCGTGCATTGTCATCCAAACTATATTATACAAAATTTCAGCTCAATCGGTTAAAGTCTACTTAAAAATTGAGTTTAAAGATTCCACCCGAACTAACATACATACCTACATCCATGCATTGCAACTTGAATAAAGGCTTTTGAAATGATCGATTGTTTTTCCAAATTGTCATTCGGATTTCAAAAAGCATCATTTGTATTTCAAATTAGTCGATTCAATCTCGAAATGCGGCAAATGTATTTCAAATTAGTCATTTTAATTTCGAAACACATCAATTGTATTTCAAAACTTCACTTCGAATTCCAAAATAGTCATGTATTTCTAAAAATATCAAATGTTTGAAAAGCCCCTTATCTATTGGGAATATGAGAATGAGACTCTGTGGATCCACAAACAATTTTATTTAGCATAAGCTAATTAACTATAACTAAAATCCGCTAAAATCCTTATACGAAATCCCCTTAAAACTACCGCGAATGTCCTTTGTTATAAAAGTTTTTCATGTCATGCCACACATCAAGCGAAAGAATAATTGTTCAACACTTACAGCTGTACCGGTGTTTGCTTACAGTTTGTTTGCCACTTTGTTAGGTTATGGTAATTAGGTAATTTCAACAGCCAGGTTAATCAATCTCTTGCTTGGACTCACACTAATTAACCTCTTCGAAATATACCTCAGGAACGATAATATTATTCCAATAGTTATTCACTTTAGAATTGACTCGTACTTTACTGCATAGCCAATTACATAATCTGCACTTTGTGCCTGAACAGGTCGGTGGTTAGTTCATAACCTCCCGGTCATCTCTTCTTATTAGCGTCTTCACCCTTCCTTCTTCGTCACGACTATCTCACTCCCGGCTTGTTGATCCTTTTTCTCTCTCGCCCGCGTCTACCATCAACACAGGTTCATACCCAGTGGCGTAACATTACCATAGTTGAGTCACTTCACTACCCCCCAATTAAATTTACTTGTCTTAGACAATACATTTAATTTAGTCACAAAGAATACTTAACTTAACCCTTAACCTAAAACTACTATCCAAACATCTCGATCAGACAACAACGAAACGAACAAACAGTTAGGTACTAATACTAATGATTCTTCACATAGGGTTTCAAATTTACAATGTTGTGCTTTCCCAACAAAATACCATTTTGATCCATAATTAAATAACTATTTGGTCCAACAACTTCTTTCACTATAAAAGGCCCATCATATAATAAAAAGAATTTCTTAATGGATGAAGTTTCTGACGATGATAAAGGATGAGTTTTAACAAGAACCCACTCACCAACTTGAAACGTTTTCGACGACTGAGTGTGCTTCTGGTGTTTACGTTCACTTTTACTAAGCATCTTTTCATACGTCAATTCCCATATTTGATCCATATTAGTAGGTTGAACATCACTTTCAGGATACTTCAATAATTTATGGATAACATTCTTTTCAACAGTACCAAAGAGTAAAAATTGTGGAGTGAAACCCGTAACTGAATGAGTAATATTATTGATACAATTCTCAACATCTTTGATTTTAGTAGCCCAGGCTGTATGTTTTTCGTGACAAAATGCCCTAAGCAAACGGCCTATTTCTCGATTAGCCCTTTCTGTAACATTTCCTTGTGGAAAATAAACTGACGTATACTTTAATTTTATTCCCAAAGCTTGCAATTTTTCAACATAATGTTTTGAATGGAATTGAGTTCCATTATCACTCAATATGGCTTTTGGTTTATGAACATTCACAAAATAATCTGCCAACAACCGATTTACAATAGTGGTTGCTGTGGCTCGCTTCAAAGCGTACAACTTAACGAATCTTGTAAAACTATCAATTATGACTAATAATTGAACCGCTCCAAATCTCGATTGTGGCAATGGCCCCATTAGATCTAAGCAAACAAGTTCACCAGGTTTACTTGCTATGATTGTATTGGTTGTTCCAATCAGTTTCTTCGAAATTTTACTTTTTTGACACAAGTCACACGACCTGACAATTTGAATGATCTGTTTTTTCATTTTTGGCCAATAAAAATCACGTTTGATATGAATAAAAGATTTCAACCCCCCAAAATGTCCTACATCAGTGTGTTGCTGTATAACAACCACAGTTATTAAAGGTGAAGGTACACATAGTTTGTATCCAGGATTAAAATTATCACCTCTTTTGAATAGTAACCCATCATACACCACAAACCAACGCATTTGTTTAATCTCTTTTTCGGATAGCTTCGAATGGTTACCACCAGGTTTATTGATTAAATCTTTGATTTCCTTAATCCAAGACTCATTATTCTGATCTTCTTCCAAAGACTTCAAGTAATCTCGCAATTTAGTAAATTCTATAGTACCCTGCAACATATTTGATTCTAAGTACCTTTCAACACATGGATATTTTCCATCCGCGTTGCTATGATTGGGATTCCTTGACAAGTAATCCGCTATCACATTATCACTACCTCTACAATATGATATCACAAACTGATACTCCTGTAAGAACAGCGTCCATCTGGCAAGCCTCGAGGATCCTAACTTGCATTGCATCAAGAACGACAATGCCTTGTGATCCGTCACAACTACTACTTCACGACCTAAAAGCAACGTGCGCCACTGACGAAAAGCGAAAACAATAGCTAACGCCTCTTTTTCTGTCACGTTATAATTTAACTCGGCACCTTTCAAAGTCCGACTCGCATAACTAATTATTTTTTTTCCATTTTCGGAATCTAGCTGATAAATAAAAGCCCCAAGACCATATCCCGAACTATCGGCTTGTACAAAAAACATACTTTCTAAATCAGGATGATATACCATAGTCACATCAACAAAAGCCCGTTTAATCGAATCAAAGGCTTGCTGTTCTGGTTCCATCCATCTCCACTTCACTTCCTTACGTAATAACGGTAATAAAGGTGCTGTCAAATCAGCAAATCGATCACAAAAACGCCTTTCATAGTTTATAAACCCTAAGAAACTTCTTAACTCCCGCACGTTTTTTGGTCGCGCGAAATTAAAAATTGTTGATTTCCGTTTTGGATCTACTTCTATCCCTTCTGGAGTTACGACATGCCCTAAAAATTCCACTTGATGTCGTGCAAATGCCGATTTCCTCAATTTTATTGTCAAGTTACATTCACGAAACTTATTCAAAATACTTTTCAAATGAACAAGATGTTCTTCCGCATTTTCTGAAAAGACCAAAAGGTCATCTACATAGATAAGTATGAAATCTTCAAACTGATCTCCCAGCACATTATTTAAACATTTCACGAAACTGGCCACCGAAGTGCTTAGCCCGAATGGTAGAACTTTAAAACAATATGTAATATTATCAAAACTGAAACCCGTGTATTTTTGATCGTCTTTATGTATTGGCACTTGCCAATATCCGGCAGTCAAGTCCATTGTACTTAGGACCTGCCCTCTTTTAAATTTCGCTAACAACTCTTCAGGATGAGGTGGTGTCACATGATCCTTTGCCATCTTTGTGTTTAAATATCTAGCATCTAGACAAAGACGTATTGATTTATCCTTTTTGATAACATTGACCAATGGTGATACATAATCAGTTTGACATTCTCTTATTATGTCAGAATCTAACATACTCTGGATCTGTGATCGAACTTCATTCTTATATGCAAAAGGTATGGGATATGACCTTTTAACAAATGGTGTTATATCATTCATTATTATGCGATGCTCATATACATTAGTCCGTCCCGGAGTTTCTGAAAAAACATCACTATATTCACACAACAGTTGATATAATTTGTTTTTATCATCAGCATCAAAACATTCAGCCCCGTTCGCTGCTTGTTGTAGGTCATAATCAGTATACTGGTGCTTTTCTCTAACCATAGCAGTATTTTCGTTTAGTAATAAGTTTATCGATAGATTCTTCTCAGTGATACCACTACTCAACTTGAATTTCAATGATTTGGAAATCGAGGGTAATTGCAAAATTAAACTATCAAAATCTAATGATATCTTATTCACCTTCAACCAGTCACACCCCAATATAACGTCTTTATTTAAATCAGGTATAACTACACATACAACTTCAAACAAAATTCCTTCAACATATATTGATACCAAAACTTGCTCTCGAACTTTAAACTTTTTTGAACCAACGGCCACTGATACACCTACATTACTAACCGGCAAATGAGGTACGTTGGTATTATTAATTTCTATTTCATTGAGAAATTCCTCAGAAACCGCTGAAATCTGACTTCCTGAATCTATTAATATCTCCACCTCTTTATCACAAACAATCGCATCGAGTATGGGTGACGCGAATTTATTTTCTTCCACCTCTTCTTCATCACTCAATAACATTTCATTTTCCAAACAAACCCTCTCTAACGCTCTTATTTCTCTTCGCGCCTCTGTATTTCCACTATTATTATTGATTACTTCATTTCGTACCGCCATTTCATTTCCTCTTCTTTGTCGATCATCACCTCTATCACCCTCATTATTTTCCGACCTGTAATTCACATTATCCGCACGCCTCTGGTCTCGTCCACGATTGTATTCCTGTCTCGGTCCTGTATTTGCCGCGTTTCTATTATAGCCCGCGCGCCAATTTGTTGCTGACACCGCTCCACCTGTGCCTCCTACATTCACTCTACCCCCCACTTCCTTTATATCATCTAACTTCCTCAAGTACGTTTCAAACGTATCTATCGTTTTTATACCATTTAACACTACTCCTCGTTGTATTTCAACATCAAAATGACTGGATATGAATTGAACTAATTCAATTTCTGGAATTTTATCCGTTAAATAAATGGCTTTATTAGACAGTTTTAAAAAATAGTCTGCTCTGCTACCAGTTTTATATTGACCGTACTTGATCTCTAAAAATAATTCTCTTTGATGTTCAACCCCCCAATATCTCTGTTTGAACAAATACACAAAATTATCAAAATCTCCAAATGTATCTTCCCGCGTAGCAGCCCAATCAGCCGCCGACCCACGTAAACTACTCAAGGCCAAATTCAGTCTAGCAACGTCTGGAACGCCAGCGTTATCGAACGTTTTGGTTAATTTTCTTAAAAATAACATCGGGTGGACATCTCCTTCAGGATAAAAACACAAATTTGTACCCCCCAAATCTCTATAAATGGAAATATACTGCTTATTTCCGTCACTTCCATGACTCACTGAAGAATTATTTCCTAGGTTATTTCCTTGGGAAACCACATTGTTCATAGTAATTTGATTTTCTCTAACACTAACTGCTAGCTGTGAAATACTACTCTGCATTTCGAGCATACCTCTCGACAAAGCTTCAATCAAAGAATCGACATTCGGATCTTGCCCTGACCTACT